TCCATCCGTGTGTCAGACCTTATGTGTCTTATTGCGCCTGAAAGGCGCCGCGTATCGGCGTGAAATTTGGCATGCCGAATCTGTGGGCGTGGGCGGCCTTTGTATTAAAATTTGGGCGTGATCGGACCAGGGGTGCGCCGTCGGCACGTGCAAAAGGGCGCTCTCATAGGGCTAGCATGGTGTCGGCGAGAGCGGCGGTCGGCCGAAAATCGGGCCGACACGGCTCGCTTTCCGGCTTGATATCTCGGCAATGGGTGGACGCAGCGAAAAGCGGTTGCCACCAATGGATAGAGGAGAGATGGGCCTAGCGTATTGATATGGTTTCATAGTGTAGCACGCGCCACGTGCAAGACAGCATCCCCGGTTGTGAAAAAATGACCGATTTCGTGCATTGTGACGGGAAAATCGATGCCGCTGGAAAACGGCTTGACGGAATGAAATCGGTGTGGTGCCATTTTGCAGGCAAATGTACGTGTAATCAGAGGATAGCAGATAAAAAGCGATGATCCGTACCATTTCCTTAATAACGAAACATTAATTGGAAAATTTATTTCGCGCGGAGCGCGATGTCCTTTACAACATCGAAACGTATTGAAAACGCTAATCAATCGCTATGAAACCTACATATTCGGAAAGAGCATTCTTTTCTGACCAATATCCACCCAAAATATTATCGAAAAGTCAATAAACTTGGGTGAAAATGACTCAAACATACGACCGTGTTCCGTTAACGTTACAGGTATTTTTCGACAAAATCCGATCGATGGCTTATGGCCGGCAGGCCATTCAAATTTTGTTAATAGCTTTCAAAGCATGGACTGCAATGCACCGCCCGCAAAGGGGAATTCCAAACACTGAAAATAAGCGCCTACCAGTAAACAGCACATTATTGTACTAGGAATAACTCAGCTACTACTGGGCCGATTGCGCTGAAACTTGGACTGTGGGTGGAGGGGGCACTCACCTGGCGATGCATGGTCGTTTGTCACAGGCAGGGTGGATCAATTGCACGTGCGCACGTGAGGGGTCCACTTATACATCTCAAGAACGGCTGGGCCGATTTCGCTCAAATTTTGTTCACTGTTGGGGACAATTTAGAAAGGTGGCTGGCACAAGTCATCTGGAGGCTCACCTAGCGCGTGCGCACGTGCAGTGGGTCTATATTATGATTTATAAGATGTCCGTGAGTGCGTGCCTGCGTCTGTCAGGACTTATGTGTCTTATTGCGCCTGAAAGGCGCCGCGTATCGGCGTGAAATTTGGCATGCCGAATCTGTGGGCGTGGGCGGCCTTTGTATTAAAATTTGGGACGGATTAGCCCAGGGGTGCGCCGTCGGCACGTGCAAAAGGGTGCTCCCATAGGCTTAACACGTGGCCGGCGAAAATCGTGATCGGGCGAAAATCGGGCCTGCAGCGCTCCTTTCCCGGGCTTATAACTCGGCGATGGGAGGCTGCAGGGAGATGGGGTGGCCACCATTGGATAGAGGAGAGATGGGCCTATCGTATTGATATAGTTTCATGGCATAGCACGCGCCACGTGCAAGACAGCACCCCCAGTTGCGAAAAAAATGACCGATTTCATGCATTGTGGGAAGAAAACCGATGCCGCTGGAAAACGGCTTGACGGAATGAAGTCGGTACTGTATCATTTTGCAGACAAATGTACGTGTAATAATAGGAAAGCAAATAAAAAGTGACGATCCGTACCATTTCTTTAATAATGAAAAATTAATTTGAAAATTTGATTTGCACGGAGCGCGATGTCCTTTACAACACCAAAATGTATTGAAAACGATGATCAATCGTTATGAAACCTACATATTCGGAAAGAGCATTCTTTTCTGACCAATATCCACCCAAGATATTATCGAAAAGTCAATAAACTTTTGTGAAAATGACTCAAGCATGCGACCGTGTTTTGATAACGTTACGCGTATTTTCCGACGAAATCGGATCGGTGGCTTCGGCAGACAGGCCCAGACAGGCTATTGAACCTTTGACAACAAACGGTAGCGGAAGGCACCTCTCGCCAGGGGAACTCGCCAGTAAATAAAATAATTTTATTCTTGCAATAACTCAGCCGCTACCGGTCCGATTGTGATGAATTTTGGGACTGTCAACGGGCACATATCGAACGACACATTATCATATGTAGGGTGCTAAATGCTAATGCACGTGCACACCTGGAAAGGAGTAGTTTCCTATCTCAAGAACGGCTGGGCCAATTTGTCTCAAACTTGGTACACACTACAGAACCCGTAAAATCAATTAAATACCATACAGTTATCGCGCAAACATGGCCATCTAGTCTATATTATGATTTATAACATGTCTGTGCGTGCGTGATCCGTCATGACTTATGTGTCTTATTGCGCCTGAAAGGCGCCGCGTAGCGGCGTGAAATTTGGCATGCCAAATCTGTGGGCGTGGGCGGCCTTTGTATTAAAATTTGGGCGTGATCGGACCAGGGGTGCGCCGTCGGCACGCGCTCGCGTGCGCCATAGGGTTAACACGGGAAACGGTCAAATCGAAGATCGGGCGAAAACCGGCCTGCGGCGCCCGCTTCCCGGCTGTATAAATCGGCAACGGAGGGTCGCAGCGAGAAGCGGGTTACACCACTCGATAGAGGAGAGATGGGCCTAGCGTATTGACATGGTTTCATAGTATAGCACGCGTCACGTGCAAGACAGCACCCCCAGTTGTGAAAAAATGACCGATTTCGTGCACTGTAACGGGAAAATCAATGCCGCTGGAAAACGGCTTGACGGAATGAAATCGGTGTGGTGCCATTTTGCAGGCAAATGTACGTGTAATCAGAGCATAGCAAATAAAAAGTGATGGTCCGTACCATTTCCTTAATAATGAAAAATTAATTTGAAAATTTGATTCGCGCGGAGCGCGATGTCCTTTACAACATCAAAACGTATTGAAAACGCAAATCAATCGCTATGAAACCTACATATTCGGAACGAGCATTCTTTTCTGACCAATATCCACCCAAAATATTATCGAAAAGTCAACAAACTTTTGTGAAAATGACTCAAACATACGACCGTGTTTTGTTAACGTTACAGGTATTTTTCGACAAAATCCGATCGATGGCTTATGGCCGGCAGGCCATACTACTTTTGACAATAACTATCAAAGCATGGGCTGCAATGCACCGCCCGCAAAGGGGAATTCAAAACACTGAAAATAAGCGCCTACCAGTAAACAGCACATTATTGTACTAAGAATAACTCAGCTGCTACCGGGCCGATTGCGCTGAAACTTGGACTGTGGGTGGGCAGGGCACTCACCTGGCGATGCATGGTCATTTGTGACAGGTAGGGTTCATCGATTGCACGTGCGCACGTGAGGGGTCCACTGATACATCTTAAGAACGGCTGGGCCGATTTCGCTCAAATTTTGTACACCGTTGGGGACAATTTAGAAAGGAAGCTGGCACAAGTCATCTGGAGGCTCAGCTAGCGCGTGCGCACGTGCAATGGGCCAGTTTTATATCTCAAGAACGGCTGGGCCGATTGCGCTCAAATTTGGTACGTTACTTTAATCGAGTATGAGAAGGGTAACTATGTGCTATTAATAAGGTAGGGTATGGGTAGGTTAGGGTAGGGTGGGTTTGAGTTCAATAAAGGCAAACCATGAGAAAGGCTCTAACAACCCGCAACCAGCACCAGCATAACATGCCGTTCAAACAAATATCCAACTCCGACAAAATAATAAGACAGATAAAAATCAAAAGTTCGGCCACACCCAAACTAATGCCCCCTCAAACGCTTCTATCAAAACGCACAGTTATAGCGCAAAACATGCCGTCTAGTATTGAAAAATTATGAACTTTCAACATTTCCGGTAAACGATTTTTCATTGCAAATTTGTAATGCAATGGTTCCGATGCGCTAGAACCAAAATCAGGGTCTAACAGTTAATTTGAAATGTGCATATGGGAACCGCGTGGATTCACCTGACTTTCACGTTGTATGACTTTACCTTCACCTGCATATTGCCGAAACAGTCGCATCATGTTAATTCATTTCTCAGTAATGACAAGAACTACTTAACTGTCAGCTTATAATCACATCCAACGCTAAGCTCTCATTTAGTAAGCTGTGTCAGCAAGAGACAGCACCTCCTAAGCTACATAAATTCTCCGGAACACACTAAACCCATTCGAAGAAATTCTTCTGTTATTATGCGTGCATAGCAACAGATAACTTCTCTAAAACGCATTACCGTCTACCCTGATCTCTGAGATTCAGTAACGATTTCAGCTTTCAGCTAAGCTAAGAACACCATCAGAGATCAGTTGGTTTCTTTGTCCTCCCAGTGACCGTAATTGCTGTCTGTCCCCTCCCTCCCCCGTTGCAATGTTTCTGTCCCTGTCCGGCCGTCTCACGATTCACAATCCACACCGCGCCCCGCACCCACCGAGCCCGGTCGGTGACGGCCGTGGGTCGATGACGACGCGTCCGCCGACACCCTGAGCCAGGTACCGTGTCTCACGCCGCCGCCACCGCCTTTGTCGTCCTTGTCGGCGCCGGGGGCGCGCCTTCGCCCCCCGCTGAGTCGTAATGAAGCGCGTCCCGCCGGTGACCCCAATACGGGGCCGCCGTGCCCGCCGCGCCGCCGGGCCGCCGCTCGCGCTGTTGCTGCCGCCCTCAGACTGCCAGCCCGGTTGCATGTCGCGTCTCGTCCCCTGTCCGGTGACCCACGCCGAGCGGCAGCCACCGCCGGCGGCTATCGGGTGCTTAGCGCGTGAGTCACGTACGATTAAAGATCACGCTCACCATTAAAAAATGATGGAATTCGGAGGATGAAGCGTTAATAGAACGGTTCCAGGACGGGAAGGATTAAAATGGATGGGTCGTTCAGTGGTGGTAAGTCAGTTATCGCCCCAATGGTATTTCCCATCAATGTTCTCGGATATCAATTCTCACAGGCAAATCATGAACTCGGCTGATCGTAGACCGAAGGCTATCTCGCGCGATCGACTTGCCGTTTGCTAAGCAAAGGTTTATTCGTGTAACTGCAAACAAATATTTATCCGTCAGGTATGTGTGTAAAATGCTGATATTGTTCAATGGTTTGAATTTTGTAGGTACTGATAGTTTCCGCCGCTAATGACTGATGACTGAGGGAGAGGATAAACCGAGGTAGCTGTGTCTCTTTACGGACACTCGCTAGGCTTTCAGCAAAAATTTTCATCAATGATTAGAGAGTTTGGTAGTTTAGTACAGATCATCAATCGGCATGTAAGTCACCAGTTCGACGTTAGAATCCGGCTGGGGTTTTCTGTACAGCTCGATGGTAAAGAAACACCGTATCACCGGATCGGGAGGTTTCTCCTTCTTCCTGCTAGATGTCGATTTCGCCGATGTTGACAGCCGCTTATTTTTGCCCTTTTCCTCTTTTTCTGACTTCTTCAGTGATGCTCTCCTCTCCTTTTTCTCTTCTTGAATGTTCACTAGCGCCTCCTGAAATAAGGGAAGTTCATTTTACGGCAATGTTGCTCTCGAAGCATTGACACATGCGTGTTTGAACCGTCCTTTGTGTAACAACTATTGACGTATCCACAGGATCTAACCGTGAATAGAAATCCAGAGGTGTCGGCTGAATTTGAGAGGCCCTTCAATTTAGATTTCATCTAGATATGGGGTGATTGATTGCCCTATTAGGGAAACTTGAAAGGATGCCTTCCATGTGATTAACGCCCGTCTCACTTTACTACATATTGAGTTAAAGCACGCAGCATAATTACGCTAATGTTCGTGGGCTCATGATCTTTGAGGTCAAGTGTATGTGTCTGCATATGCACATTTGCAGGTATGTACACATATCGTTCTTGTGTGGATCAAATGCATCAATAATTTTTGTATGCAGCTGTTCTGTCTGTGTATGTCTGTGTCTGCGTATTTGAGTGTGCGTTTGTCTGTGTCTGGTTGTATGTACTCGTTCCCATCTCCACTCACCACCCACGTCGTCTTGTATGTGTTTGTGTTTGTGTCTGTGTTTCTGTCTGTGCTCGCTCCGTCTCCACCCACCATCCATGTCGTCTCTGTGACCGCCGCCGTGGTCCCTCCACTGGACGTTGTACCCTGCAGGAGCAGCTGTTTCGCCGGCCTCAGCAGCGCCCGCACCGGCAGCAGCACACTGCCCAGACTGTACTCAGGAGGCGGGCCGTCTGCATGGTCCGCGCCGCCCTCCGCTGACTGTCAGAGACGAGTGTCACACCAGTGTCAGATGACACCAACAGACACACACAACAGCGCCGCCCTCCGCTGACTGTCAGAGACGAGTGTCAGCTGACTGTCAGAGTGTCAGATGACACCGACAGACACACACAACAGCGCCGCCCTCCGCTGACTGTCAGAGACGAGTGTCACACCAGTGTCAGATGACACCGACAGACACACACAACAGCGCCGCCCTCCGCTGACTGTCAGAGACGAGTGTCACACCAGTGTCAGAGTGTCAGATGACACCGACAGACACACACAACAGCGCCGCCCTCCGCTGACTGTCAGAGACAAGTCAGTCAGCTGACTGTCACACCAGTGTCAGAGTGTCAGCTGATACCGACAGACACGTCAACACCGACCGGTGAGAGCTGTCCGATCTGGTGGGGATGGGAGGATCCATTGGCTAAATTAGAAAACTGCCGGATCATTTCAAACATCAATTGATGATACATACTATAGCATGCATTTACATGCCAATATTACCGCAGTTGTCAAGAAAAGCAAGAAATATGCTCTGACATGCTCTGAGAAATATATCGATCTCGATTGTAGAATGATGACGAATGAATCGTGATATTGAAATGATTAAACAGTTACAATAAGATGACGAATAAAACTGAAAGTTTTCTCGACAACCAACAATAGGGTAGCCTGGGGCAAGACGCCCCAGATAATTTATTTTGCTACATAAGTTTTGTCCCACATCACCTGAAAGGCCAAATTTGTGCTCAATGCGTTCTTTGGACATTTTACTTTAAATTGCACCCCTCAAATTGATTCACTTATGATCGGACTCCAAGCTAGGAAGTGATTTGTGAAGCAACTGCAAATGGGGCATTTTGCCCCAACCCCAGGGCAAAACGCCCCACGGCCTGGGGCAAGTAGCCCCATACCTTAGATTAAAGATTTAACATGGTAGTTGGCTAAATCTTATGTGAGAGGTCCGTTAGACCTCTGGAGGCACGGCACTGAAGTTAGCACATTCCATCTTGTCAGGTGCTCAGCATATGACACTGTTGTATGAGCAGGTTTTTCACCTACCTCATAAGACCAAATAATAAATTATTGCAATGCAAATGTTAACAAAATACTTCCTTTGCCATCCAGTTGCTGAGAAAAATACACATAAAGGCACAGAAACTTAATGTTCGCCAGCTACCGAACATTAGAAAGTGGGTAGCCCCAACAACACAAGAGGTAAAACGCCCCAGGGGCTTTTTGCCCCGCGACCTACTGGGGCGTTTTACCCCATCACGTAGTTCGGTCAGAGAACAACGCCTTGCACTCCAGTAAGACATAATTTAACACGAACCAAACCGGCATGATAAGCGTTAGACAATAGTTGTTCAAAATACATAAAAGTCGTTAACCTAATGTGGACCATAAAAGAACGCCATGATTCATAATCTGACAACAAAACATAAAAATCACTCAAAAAACACATTTTTGGCTATATCTCCCGAAAGAGTCATCACAATTTCTTTCCAGTCTGCTCATATAATGATCATATAGTGCACGTTTTATAGAAGAGATGATGTTTCCCCAGAACCCTGCCAGTTCCGAGAAACATCGGTGAGGCGTTTTACCTCGGCGGGGCGACTTGCCCCGGTCTACCCTACCTAAAACAAGCAACGGTGAGTTTTAGTTTACCTTTTTCGTTGGTGCGCTTCCATCTTTGGCGCCCTTATCCTTCGCCTTCGTATTTCCATCAGATTCACCAGATTTATTTTTCTTTTCGTTCTTTTCTTTTCCACTTTCTTTTTGCTTGCCTTTCTTTTCCTTCTTCTCATCTCCTTTTTTATCCTTCTGTTCTTTCCCCTTCTCTGCATCCTTGCTTTTATCTTTTTTCGATGTTTTTGGTGGTGTCCATTTCTGAAAAAGAATAACAACGTCATTCGCATTTCGCACCATCCACTCCTCTATCACTCTGCCGTCCGACCCCGGTTGGCGGCAGTCAGAGGCAGATAGGACCGAGTTGGAAGCCGACAAATACTCCCACAAAGATTCTACTTCCGAAACTCGAGCCGTTCGACAGCTGAGTGGGAGCAAAAACCACGCCGCACGCTGCTGACCAGCATCACTGGTTGCCATACTAGGAGCTTCAGAACGCACTTTGCCTTGAAATTCTCTTTAAATCCTTTCATCGACTACCTCTGCATTTGCAAAACTAATGGTTTTCAGGATCTTATCGCGTTTGATAGTTCACATTCAGTAAAGCTTGGTATCAGATAGAATTACGAGGAAAACAAAAGCGAAGAAAGAGGATGTAAGATATCGCAAACAGTGCGGGAGCGTTACCTCTCTCCTGAAGACCTCGACGTGCAGGCAGTGGAGCAGAGCGTTACGCAGCGCGCTGAGGTCGGTGCAGTGCCACTCGAGCGGCGTGTCCAGCGCCGAGACGTCCGACTTCTCCTGGAGCAGCGCCTCCAGCGGGCACAGGCCGTCCGACCGATCCGCCTCAGAGCCCGGGCCGCCGGCCTGGACCGGCGAGAGTAGGGTGGGGCAGCGTGTGGACGGATGGGAGCGTATGGGGTCAAAGGTGTGTGTGAAACTGGCATCGACCGGTGCACAGTGCGTGTGGAGCTGGCACCGGTCGATATTTCCTTTGCATGTAGAGATCAGTCATCACGAAACTGTTGTAACGACAATCATACATGCAGGGTCGAAACTCTAAAGCTGCGTCCTACACGAGCCCACGAGCAACTACTGCAGCAAACGGCACAAAATAGGGATGGGATCGTTCACTGTCATGCAGCCAATATAGCACGACGCATGTGTGAAATTCATGGACGGGCATTCATCACAGTCATGGATATATTGAAGCTCCAAACAGCCGGCGACAAATTGTCGCAGCACGTGTCTGAACTGACCTGAGCCGAGGGAGGCGAAAACGGCGAGGGACAGCGCCGGTCACCCGCCCACTGGAACACGACACACAGCTCCTGGCCCGGGTACTGAGAACAGGGGGACGATGGTAATGAGGTACGGAAACATAGAGGGATCAGCTGAACGAGGCCAAGAAGATCATAGATGGGATGATTGCAAGGGCCAACGGGTGGAGGTAATAAGCATGAAATAGGATGAGTGAAGCCACCGATCAACGCGTTGCGACTGTGGGAGAGTATGATACATGAAAACAGGAGACAATTTTCAATCAATTTTTAGGAGACATTTTAAGGAGACAATTTTAAAGAGAAAAGTTAATTTAAATAAGGCTATGAAACCTCAGTCTGAAAAGATCGATTGGTTCTAAAAAAAAAAAAGAAATGGTTTCATATAGCTGTGGCCTGTGGGTGATTTAGCCGCTTACGTCAGTTTTATCAGCGTTGCCTCGCTCCGGCGAGTGGCTAAAGAACGTCTCAAATGCAGCAACAGATCAGCAAAAACTGTCGCGTTTTGCAGGAGTTCGCGACTTCTACGACCGTGAGCAGTCATCAACGTCTATTTAGATGAGCTGAATAAAGCAATATCCTAGCATAAATATCGTCTTACTTTAATTCCTTCATTTAATTCCTTGGCTTGGATAGATAAATCCCTGGCTTAGCTAAATCCCAAAGGCTATCTTCTTTGAGAGTCAGGTCACGCCAAGGTGAAAAATAACGCGATGAACCAAATGTTTCGTCTCCCTTACTCAGTCTTTACTCTTTTCACTAGCTTCATAGGAAAAAAAACGAGACAAATTATTTCTAAAATATGTCATATCTCAAATCATCTAAGCATTGCACCTAAAGAAGTTTGACTCAATTGCCACGCATTCTCTACAGGTTAATTGCACCGAGGAGCACTTTGGCTATACTGGGGAGGGGTGTCATGCACGAGGAAGCAAATGTTTCGTCTCCATTGATCAACCTTTTTTTCACCAGCTTCATATGAAAAAGTTACTTCTAAATTTCTCAAATCATCTGAGCATTCCGCCAAAAAAAAAAAACATTAATCAATAGCTGCATACATTCCCTACAGGACAATTGCATCGAGGAGCAATTTGACTGCACTGGGGAGGGGCGGCGTTCCCCGAAGAAGCCACGGTGGCGGGCGGAGCGGCCGCAGGTGGGGGGGGGGTCGTCCCCCGGGATGGGCCGAGCGGCCGCAGGTGTGGTAGTGTCCCTCAGTTACCGGCAGAGCGGCTGGGCTGGGGAGGTGGTGCGTCCCCCGGGGTCGGCCGAGCGGCCGCTGAGGTGGCTGAGGTCAGGGATCGATGGAACAGCTCCGTTTAACGACTGCACCTGCCCACCTGGGACACACGACTGCGAGTTGCGTGGGACCGACCAAAGGTCACCACCACAGCCCTTCCTGGTCGGCAGGTCAGCAGTTTGCAGCGGTGTTCACTGGGAGTTTCGCACCGTTTCGCACCGCCGGCTATAAAGAGTTTCGGGCGTGAGAGGAACTGAGAGGCTCAGCTCCACACTTTTGTGTGAGCCATATAAGATGTGCTGTGCATACCGTATGTCCTATTTCATTCTCTTCTTTCTTTTGTTTCAATTATTCAACAGCAATGAAAATTCCAGGTAGAGGTTATTTGAATACATTGAGCGACACACGTTTCCATTACCGATAGGGATATGAATGCAATACTTTTTTAGAACGATAATACAGTCTCATAAAAGCTCATTATTTCAAAAACAACGAATAATAATATTCCATTTTTCATAGCTATTTCCATCACTATCGGAAATACCTGTAGTCATCACGCAATAATGGATCAGCTTGGGGTACTGCTCATTACTCAATAACGTTTTCATTATCGCACTATGCTTTGCTATATGAGCGACGAGCACACCTGGTCTTTTGGCACGAAGGGCAGGTAGACGGCGCCTGTGACCCGCACCAGGGCGCCGGTCAAACTCGGCTCAAACCGAACCGCGTCCAGTTGCACGGTCGGCCGGCGCGAGCCCTTCCGCGCCGGGCTCTTCTTACCGGACTTCTTCTTCCTAAAAAAACAATAAAACAATCAACGATCTCGATTAAATGATCATTACATATTTGAAATGCATGATGAACAAGCATATATGTTTTATACGAGCAAACCTAAAGCCTGAAACGTCTCAACTTCTTCATATTTTATTTGTGATATTGCTTCCCTCCCTACCCCTCCCCTTCCCCTCCCCTCTCTAACTTGCTGGCCGACTCCTCGGGCTCCTCGGCGGGTTCCAGCTGCCTCTGCAGGTCCGCCAGCAGCTCGTCTGTCAGCAGTACACCGTCCAGCAGCAGCAGCCGACCCAGACCGGAGGTAAAGTGCTGGTAGTAGCCGCTGGCCAGCTGAGGGAACACGCCAGTACCGGGGGGGGGGGGGGAGGTCACTACTCGAGTCAGAATGAAGCGGGTAGGTGAGAATAGCGAATGGAGTGAAACATCCAGCAGGGGAAGGTGTAACGGGTTGTTTTGGCGCAATTCTATTGGCTTGTCGCTACAATTAGAGCCTTGCATACTCACAAGGAGTGTCGTTCCAGTAGGTACCATGGGAGATAACAGAAATATTTCAGAACTGTCGTTAGATTTTTCTGTAGCATGAACACAGCAGAAAGTGAACGTCGTGCAAACTTTGCGTGGGAGGGTGTTGAATGCTTGTTTGCATACGAGTATGCTGGGACCCAACCCATGACGTGCCGCACCTGCTGCTCAGTTTTACATAATCCTGAGCCAACGTTGCAAAGTCACGCATCTAACAAAATCAACATTTTATAATGATCTATGACCATGTTCCACGTACTTCTTAAAATAAGCGGTCGTGCGGTTCCTTCAAAGTCGGATGAATAATGAAAGCTGTATTGATTGAGCAAACAAGCGCAACAACCAACAGCTAAATAGGCCATGGTCTCGCGACATCGATTTCTCCCGCATGTCACATTAGCACAGCTCCGATCCCTTAGAAAGCGGCGCTGCTGGCGTGCAAGGTGCTGTCCATTCCACAATGGTGGATGGGGCTGAGTGAAGGTATAAATGCACTCAGCACTTTGTCACGACGATAGTCACCAAATTCTGTCCATCAGGCCGTGATCGGGTAGGAAAAATGGTGGTTGTGGAGTATACATTCTTTAAAGCATGAGCATATCGACTTTACACGCACACACTTCAATAAATATTCCAGATAAGTTTCTCAATTGCAGCTGAAATTAATCTAGGTCGTCATATTGACAGCAGATTTTTTAAATCGCGGCCCAGAGATCTAAAGGATCCAATGAGACTGTTTGTGTGGAATAATTCTAGGCAATAATACGCTTGACAGGTTGGCATGCCTCCAAGATTTGTAAAATGTAACGCCGAGCGCTGCATCCTCGAACAAACTGTTTACCGATGCGAGACATTTAGCTCGGTAACAGCGCCTTTGTAGCCCATAGTTAGCTTTGATCACTGCCCGTCCTTGGGATGACCCTACACTGCAGAAGCATTGAAGCTTGAAGCCTATGGTAGCCCTCTCCCAAGGAACCAGCTATAGCAGTCTAGTATGTGCTCATGCTTCACTGTGACACAACCTATTAATCGTCAAGCAGCTGTCGTTGTTTACCCTCTAATCACCCATCAATGGACACAATCTAGGTGCTATCAGTCTGGCCTTGTTTACCGGGATAAGGCAACAACCATGGCATCAACACCTGTCTGTCGCATCCTAACGTTTATCGCCCGCTGTGTGGGAGGTTGGCAGAACTGCGCTCACGTGAAGGATGACTCTCACTTCCCAACGGAGTCTGATCTGACAAGCCCTTACTTATTACAGCCGAAATCTGCCTTTTATACCGATTTCAGCACACACGAATTCAGTGCACACGACTCCCGATCTCAATACCGCGCCTATAGCCTGGCAGGTAGGCTGTGCCGCATAGCTGCGCTGTACTGCGGTACAGCCTACCACTTCAGTGAAACTGCGGCTCGCCCGGACTGAAATCAACCGCACCATTCTGTTAGCCGCAATAGCAACAATGCAGGCTACGCAGAACCGCTGTGCTGGAGCGGCAGTCCTTCCGGTGCCGTCTGTGTTTTGGTTCCGGTGCGCCGGCCCCACCGTATGGTTCGTTTCCGTCTATCGGATAGTGAGGGAGCCCCACACAGCGCGAGGAACCGGTGCGGCGGCTGCGTGAGATACGACGCAATCACACGACATACTGGGGCGCGGCCCGGCGGCAAGCTACCGTGAAAACATCCGACATAGGCAATATCAGCAGCGCCACAGCCCCGGAAAATAATGTAAATAGGAGGAATAGCTAATGTAGGCCGACGGAAACTTGTACCCAGTTGTAATGCAGCGATGGTGCTTGATGCTGACTTTACGCTAAAAGTAGGGCAAGGTGCAGTAAGTTGTTTTAGTGCATGGAATCTGCTCGGAATGTATAAATGCGGTATGTAAAAGAAGTGAAGCAAAGAAGACTAGCAAAACATCCGGTGGTCGTCATCCGTCTCTCAAAGGCATGCCTTTGATATTGATCAGTAATCAATGGACAAAGTGATAGCAATGACTCGTAAGATTCGTGACTCTTGACTGCGACCCCTGCCAAACCCTTCTGCAATATTTCCCATGCAGGGCACTCACAAACGCCGGGTTGCCGGAGAGGCTGATGGAGCGGATGCTGGACGCGATGGTGACGAGCTCTGTGATCCTGGACAGGTCGCAGATGTAGTTGTCCGACAGGTCCAGCACTCGCAGCGAGGGCAGGCTGCTGCTCAGAAGGGCGCCCAGCTCCGGCAGGTGGTCTGCCAAATGCAGCAATAGATATATAAATGTCACGAGGAAAGTGACTTATTATGCTGTGTATTTAGAGGTGCGAGATCGAGTTACAGTATCACTTATTTTTTAATGAAATATGTTATCAAGCACACCCCACATGCCTTGTTCAAAAGCACAGCGCCATTGTTGTCCGTCTTTGATAACTTTCAATAGTCCATTCAAGAACATCACAATTTAAGCCAAACCCCATCGTTCCGGCTTTTGACTATAAGATCATGCATGGTTAGTTGTCATTTGTATGCACGCCCCAACAGTTTGTCTCATTTCATGACATGCTCCAGTAACGGGCACCGCTAAGCCAACGAATATCCGCCGCATCATGTCATCGATCCGCCGTGACACGACAACGAATGTGGGAACCTGACCGTCTGTCAGCTGGACACTGCCGACATTCAACCTCTGTCAGCCGGACCCTACCGACCCTCGCCCTCTGTCAGGTAAAGCCTGCCTTAGAGAGCTGCATCCGCTGTCAGCTGTATCCCGCCGCCCCTCACCGTCTGTCAGCTGTATCCTGCCACCCCTTACCGTCTGTCAGCTGTATCCTGCCGCCCCTCACCGTCTGTCAGCTGGGTCCTGCCGAGTCCCAGGTACTCGAGCGGCGGACAGCGGGTCAGCAGGGCTGTCAGACCGGCGGCCAGTCGGTTCCCGTACAGCTGCAGTGACCTCAGTGACCGCGGCAGGTCGTGACCCTGAACCTCGGTGAGGTCGTTGCAGGCCAGGGAGCAGCTGCTGAGGTGGCTCAGTGCACACATCTGCTCGCCGAGCGAAGAGATCTGTAACGTAGTGGAGACACTGATGTTGCACCTAGCAGTTGCCGACAGCAGACACTTTGAGGGAACCGGAACAACGGAACAATAAATCATGTGAGCTAGGAAAAAACGAGAAAATTATCAACAGCTGTTTGTTCCGTGGCCCTGGCTATCGTCCCCTTACTCTGCAAGCAGGGCGCTTTGCACACCAATATGCTTGCAAATTAGCGTTCAATAATTACCATAAAGCAGCACGCCGTGAAAGATTGTCTGTGGGATTACCCCAAACTATTGGAGTACGGAGCTATTCTTGAGCATAGTTTCGTGACTTTCCCTGGGAAGGTGACGTCAATTCCCGACCTTTGGTAGCGCCCACAATGATGTACCCGCCGACTTATTATGACAAAAGTTTGAGACAAGAGTTGACTGCCCTCCCACTGCTAGCAACTGGGAAATGCACTGCACAGCATCCATATAGCTCATATTGAAGTTGGAGATGCTAGCTATTTATGTGAAAGGTATCAATTCATTGTTTTCCCCCAGTTGTGTATTTTCACTTTTCAGGCGTATTTTGTACAATTTTACCTGAGTCTGCTTGAAAATTGCACTGAAATGAATAGAGTTTCTAAAGCCTTTGGCTCAAATATCTGTTTATTTGCTAACATTCATGAATTAACCACGCCGAATCATGAAACCGGTTTTAACCCTCGCCGGACCTATTGGTTTTCTACATACGCCCCGGCCGAGGGGGGGGGGGCGGGTACGACCCCCCCCTCGCCGTTTCGCCCCTGGTGGAGCTAGCGCGTCGCGGAAAAAACGAGCGTGTGCGCCGTTACGAGACGCAGAGATTGGTACCCGATTTTAAGGTCCTAGGTCAACCGGTGACCTCTGAGGTCAGGTCAAGTGCCCCAGGGTACGGTTCAGTTTTTGGTGAATAACTTCGCAAAAAACGGCCGCAGAGCGCCGATTTTGGCAGCATCGTGTTCGCCTCGCTCAGGCGCGTCGAATGATATACTTTTTGTCCGGGTCAGGTCAACTTGGGGTGTTGACCTCAGGTCAAGGTCAGGTCAGCACCCCCAGGTCACGAAGTTGGTCGAAAGAGGTCATGTCGCATAGCATTCGATTCGGCAGGCCTTCCTGAGTCCATTGGTGCCTTTCCCGACTCGCTAGCTCAATTTGATCAAGAGTTATTGACGAAAAACTAATTTGACCTTGATGACGTCATAAATGACGTCACGCAAGGTCAACATTGCAAAAGTGACGCATCTAACCTTGCAAGGAGTGTATCAAATCACGATTCTGTGTGCTTGAGATAGTTGGAGATCGTTCCCGGCGCCAGAATAGCAGTTTGAATTTTTCCCCATTGACTTATAATGGTGAGGTCACGAAAATGACCTGACCTCATATGACCTTTAGGAAAAATCCGAGATATACAAGTTGTGGGACTCATAATGGATACTAGATCCTGCAAGTTTCATTTCCCTGTGACATCTCCTCTGGCAGTGAGGGCGTTGCGAAGTTGCGACATCTGAAGACCGTGCAGAGGTTCACTTATGACGTCATAGGTCAGTGACCTGACCTGACCCAAAAATGCGGTTGGTGTCAAAAGATCCGGCTTGGATCAAAGGTCAGGTATGCCAAGTTTCAGCTCTCTATCGCCAGCGTGTTCGGAGCTATCGCGAAAAAACCCTATGGGGGGGGCGGCACCCGCCCCCCCCCTCGGCCGGCGAGGGTTAATTGGCAAAGAGGGTTCATGGCTCTCATGCAGTGAAGGCTATATCCAATCAGTTTTTATTTAATACGGTGCAGCTGGTCGCGGACGACCGGTGAGCCTCTCCGGTCAATATCGGCCACTGTCCGACCATCCCCGCCCTGAGAGTCTCCGCGCCGGGTCAGTGGCATCCCCCGCCGCGTGAGCTGCGAAAGCTCTCACAGCTCTCCAGGAGGTGCCACGGGCGCCGGCCGAAACGGGGCCTCACTAATGCGCCAATCCGAACGAGGCGCCTCCCTTTATTAGATTGCCCGCAGAGCAATCAGGTTTGTGAGAAAAAAGCTTGCAGATTGTCTGCATTCCGCGAAGTGCCCAAACATGCTAGTAAAAGAAGACACTGAGTGATTAAGAAGCCTCTGGTAATTCGGTCAGCGCGATACGCTGACCGAATTGCTGCGCCACACAGGATAACGCGATTGCTCTCATAAGTAAGCGTTTCCTATTTTTATGGTGAACTCTAATTGGACGTTACATGAAAATTAGATTATGTTGATGTTGTGTAGGGGTAAAACCTCCAGCGGTTTTACGCTACGCAGTAGCGCGCAGCTAAAACGTTTCAATATTTTTAACCCGCGCCCCACTGGGGGGCTATTTATAGCCCCCCTCCCGTTTTTCTGCAATAACTTCCAAACCGCTTGACGTATCAACGCCAAACTTTCAGTACCTTCGGCTGCATCAATTTGACACCTTGTGTCAAAATTTGAACTTCGTACCTACCATAGGTCGGCCGGAAATGACGTCAGAGTGACGTCATGTTCGGCCGATTTCGACGCAAAACATTGAACCACGGCAATCACTCCCAAGAGCTCATTTTTTAAGCTAGATCCAATTTCTTTGCATGAGAGGACTCAGAATAGACAGCGCTATCAAACTGCTATCTCGGATATTCGAAATTTTGAAAACTTCGAAAATTTTATATAATAAAACTCAAAATTTATATTTTTACATTTTTTAATTTTTTTTTTAACTTTTCGTAAAAACCGGAATATATGTGATAGAACGCATTATTATGACTAACTCTAGCAAGTTTTAGCTAAATATCTTCAATAATGGCCAAGTTATACGCAATATTGCAAAAAATAACAACTATTAATTTTTCAAATCAATTTTTCAGCATGAATTTGACATCGTAGCCAATATAAATAGCACCATCGTGTTCCTGAGCTCAAACTGCATCCAATAGACACCTTCTTTGTTGAAAAATTTTAACTTCAAAATTTGACCTTTTTGACCTGAAAGTGACCTGACCTGAGCTAAATTTGACTCAAAATGACCTCGAATGACACAGACGACATCAAATTCGAAATCTCTGACCTAAATGGACCATAAAACATGTGTCACGTGACCGACGGATGATATAATATTTTCGTGACCTGTGATGACCTGACCTTGACCTGAAAATCAAAGTACAAGTTTTGTACCCTCAGAGTATCTAGAGCCCATCTGTTCACGAGTGTGTGAACCAAAAATGAGCCTGATCTGACTTGTAAGACGGCGGCGAGAGCCCAAAACGTGAAGAAGCCAAAATGCTAATAATTTTTACTTTGACCTGACCTGTGACGTCATCGGTGACCTCGAGGTCAATGAAATTAGATTTCGTTCGACAGTTTTTCCGGGGCTATCAGACGCCGTTTGAATTTTGACAATCGGCCCAGTAGTTTCGGAGTTAGGAGGGGGGGGGGCTATGAATAGCCCAGTAGGGCGTGTTATACGCAGACCCCAGTGGGGCGCGGGTTAATATTTTCTGAGATGATAACTTTTGCCTGCTGATGTACTGATTAAAACCCTTGCATCCTATATCATTGCACTATCTGCTCGTTACCATATGCTACAGTCTGTTGTGGAGTGGGGGCTGTTTTATATGCTCTGAAGTTAAAATGTTTTCACTTCAATGACGATCGCGGTTGCACTTGGCTTCACCCATTGCTTTGTTCTTTTAGGTATTAGTTTATACGCCCCCCCCCCCCCAAAGAAACAAAAACAAGACAAAACAAAACAAAACGAAACAAAACAAAACAAAACAAAACAAAACAAAACAAAACAAAACAAAACAAAACAAAACAAAACAAAACAAAACAAAACAAAACAAAACAAAACAAAACAAAACAAAACAAAACAAAACAAAACAAAACAAAACAAAACAAAACAAAACAAAACAAAACAAAACAAAAACAAAAACAAAAACAAAACAATACAAAACAAAACAAAACAAAACAAAGCAAAACAAAACAAAACAAAGATTGCAAACACATGACACATTTCAGTGACATTTTATGTTCAATGTTATAACGAATTTATTTACAACTTTGTCGTAGATGAGACTGTCAAGTGTAAATGTCGACCCCCCCCCCCCCCCCATGGCTGTCAGGTCCCCAGGGAGACGCTCGTCGGACGGCAACTTAGCCAGACGTCGCCATCAAAGAGAACAAACTTCCAGAATCTAATCAAAACCGTCAAAGGTGGTCTCGATGTGACAAAACTTCCACGGCAGTAATGGACTCCATGGTCATGTGATCGGATTGGCAGAGTGGATCCCAGCGTGGCAGAGTGAACTGACACCGCTGGGATGAGCGAAGACCTACCTGGGATAGCTCATGGTCGAAAATCCGGGCCCCGGTGGCACACTTTGTCAATCTCTTTTCCCGGAAATCGGATATTGAATCTAGGAATATTGCATCACGCCCAACAGATTCCAGTGCCCAGCAACGTCAGGATTTAAGTCATGACCCGGCATTTTGCTTATTCCGCACTCCGCAGAGCCTATCCTGATTCAGAACTAAATAATTCATTTTAAATCCATTGATCTAACCTTGATTAGCTATCTATAGTACAACAGAAAGCGGACACAGCAGATTAGCTGTGATCAGGCTGCCTTATTGGGCGATTAGCTTGGAATTAGTATTCTACTAAATCTTGTTTGCTGCCACATGAAGCTAACAATCAGCCGTCTTTGATGATGTTGACGCCACCGCGGGTCTCTCGTCTGAGCCCGCGTGCAGCTTCCCGTCGTGCCCCCGTCTCCGGTTGTTCATTACGGAGGACGGAGCCATCACAGAGCCCGTAAACCAAACGCAGGGAGCGCCGATATTGCGTGGAGCGCCTCGCTCCATTTTCGGGCTCCTTCGGTGCCGTTCGGTCTTTTAGAGTTAGACGCAAAAAAAGCTGATTAAGTCTAACCATGACAAAGAGATAATAAATATATTGTCCTACTCAAGTTTGTAACTAGCCTAACTATCAATAAGATATTCGGCAGCGTGCTTTTTATGTGTCATTTTACGGATCAAATGTAATGCGCCTCCAGGTCAGGATAGCTCAGATATCCGGCCCGTTACAGGACTCACGTTCTGTCTGGGCAGGCTGAGCGACTGCAGGCGGGCCAGCAGGTAGCGGTGGGTGACCTGCTGGTCCTCACTGACGGCGCGCTGTAGCAGCGGGAGGACGTCGGCCGACCACCACACGTACCGCCGCCACGGCGAGCCGGCCGACAGCAGCAGTTCGGCCGCTGTCGGGAGACGGTGTCACAGCGGAGTGGCAGCGGGACAGAGGAACGACGGTGTTATAGGGGAGTGACAGTGTTATAGAAGAACGACAGTGTTACAGAGGAACGACGGTGTTAGAGGGGGTGACAGTGTTATAGAGGAACGACAGTGTGAGAGGGGAACGACAGTGTTATAGAGTAACGACAGTTACAGTGGAACGACAGTGTTATAGGGGAACGAGTGTTACAGAGGAACGACAGTGTTATAGGGGAACGAGAGTGTTACAGAGGAACGACAGTGTTATAGGGGAGGGCAGTGTTGCAGAGGAACGACCGTGTCACAAAGGAATGACAGCGAGACACAGTGGGGAGTCGTAGCAAAATCAGCAGCGCGAGCAATGCTCAATACCTAGCATGCGTGTCTGGACTGTCTGACACGGTACCGGGGTACCTTCATCCCCCATACCTTCATCGGTTGTCAGCTGCCGCGCCTCTGGTGAGAGTCTGTTCACGGGAAACTCTGTGATCAGTGACGTCTTGATCAGAGTTCCCAGTCGTATGCGAGCCGTTATCTCCTTCGGCACGTGCAGCAGCTCGACGCTCGAGGGCGCTTCGAGAAGCCCGATTTCCAACGCCATGACACCTGCGGCTTGGGAGCTGCGAGCTCGATCCCAGGCCACGTGAGGCTTTCTTATCCACAAATGGTCAGGGTTTTGTGTCAGGCCATTCTTGATCTTCGAACTGTCATTGGCAGATGGGTATTTGTCAAATCATCGAGTTTGTTGTTTTTTAACGAAATTTAGGCACTCTTGCTTTCGCAATTTATTTGTTAATTAAAATTTGTGTTAAAAATAACATTTTTCTTGAAGAAATAACCCAAGCAAAAATAAAAAGGTAAAATAGAATTTGCAGAGTGCCAGTAAAAGGCTGGGATGTTGCTGTTCGTGGGATGTTAATGATCTCTTATTTACAATGAGTGCCCTTTGGAAAATTAGCAAATGAAGTAAAATGATCTCAAATAATTTCAAATTAACGGCCAGATAAAAACGACATTATTTATAGCAAAGCACAATCATTTATGTGTGAACCTCTTCCCCTTCGGTGATCTGCCGTATAATCTATAGACACTGAGAAGTTATGACGTATATGGATGAAGGACGCATTAACGAAATTCGCTTGTCACATTCCAAATCAGCCCTTCCTTCCATTTCCGCATTTGCCGCGCCACCAAGTGACCAAACAAATCAAACAGTGCTAATCGTCCATGCATCACCCGATTACATATGATTTAGTCCGCGTGCGGCAGACCAGAAGCGGGTAAACATCGAATTAGTTCACGCCACGTCATCCGACAAACAGACTCAGCGTCATCTCTGAGCACACAGAACCCCGGCTCATCGGCCGCTGCAGTGGGCCTGTGCCGTCTGCTATACCCTGTCTGACTGATTGGCACCCGGCTCCAGCGGCTCGCGCTGCTGTCAAAACAACGCCCTCCGTCAGCGGAGACGCCGAATCAACCGCTGCGCGAGGCAATCGCATTACACGAGATTGACTCGTAATCAAAGGGGCCGGGAAATCACATATCCGGACGATGTTCAGTGCACTGCTCACCTTATGATGGAATACGTCGTGGATGTGTTCGTGTGCAAAAGCTGAAAAGCAGGCGAGAAGTGACACATTAAGGTCATATGTAAATTACTAAGACTCGTAATCGAAGGGACCGGGAAATCACATATCAACGTCAACAGCGCACACGAGCATAGTTACCGTGATAGAAGCGTTTAATATAAATATCGTTCAATAAAGTTCCACCTGGTGCTGTTGTGCTTCCCAAAGTTTTCTTCTCCACAATTGTGAGGACATATCCTTTTAGTTGGGGTCACCCCACCCACTCACCAAACTCATTTAGCTGACCTGGTAAAATTAGAGCTAAAACTACAAATGTGGCACCCCGGCCCTGGCTAGCTTACGCTTGCTAACCGGTGTGCCAACTCTGTTCAGTTTGCAATATAGTCAAGGGAATACGGGATCCAATGTTCTCGAAATAGCCTGGTCGCACTATCCTCCGTTGTTGGCTCCACCGAAACGACTCAACTCGGACGTATGTACGGCCGGCAAGAGGGCAAAGTAGCGCGCCAAGAGCACCGTAAATTTCCGCGACGGAAGATCGCATTGCTGATTCGATTGCCTGCAGAGTCGTTAATGGATATTGAAAGTGCTCGGCCTTACCGGCACACAGAGTGAACTGCTCGCCTATTTATCACCTTCATCAGTTCGCGATCTGCCGGGCGGCGTGACTTTTGTAAGCCCTGTTGAGTAGGGTATATTGTTTCCCTTTGTGTACTCTCTGTTTAGAGTAAGTCTGCCAATGTGTGATCGGATCTTGCTCCCGATCTGCCCTCCCCCGCCCGCCGCCGCAGTACTGAACACCGGCTGATCCGCCGGCGATGCCCCTAAGCCCCAAATCACTGGAGCGCCGCCGCCGAGCTGTCGCCTTGACATCAAACAACGCCTCTGCCGCCGGACCCGGCCGCCGCCGCAAAATGAAACGGCAGGTCATTGGACGCAGGGGCGGGCGGGCAGCTGCGACACATGGCGGCGAGAGCGCCGGAGCAGAGGCAGAGGGGGAGAGCCGATCGTCAGCCCTCCTCCGGCGGCGCCTCGGCCGGGAGCGCGCCCGGCCGGCTGCCGGAGACGGGAGCCGGCCTCGTCACGGGCCGGGCAACGGCACAATAAGGTGGGTTCACTGCGTTCGGCTGTTACGGTTATTGCCAGATGCACGCGGATTGCTCAGTCGGCGGCTGCTAAGGCCTAATCTAACAAAGTTACTGAATTAGGCATATCTCGAGGAAAGGCGGAATTATAATTCAGCAGGGCGTGATTTCCCCAGGGAAACGACATTTCCAGCCCCGCCTTATCGCATGCAACTTCGTAATGAATGTGGGCGCATGCTACTTGGCAGTAGATAAGACAAACATATGTTTTGGACCTTCAAAACTTTTTTAGAAGAGACAAAATAATCATTGGATAAGCGACTTATAACTCCTATAACCCTTTGTAAATTAGTTAGCTTAGCTACCTCTCAGATCTCGCTGCCATGTTGAACCTATTTTCATGTTCTGTCTGTTCTCTCCTCCCTTCCTTCCTCTCTCTCTCTCTCTCTCTCTCTCTCTCTCTCTCTCTCTCTCTCTCTCTCTCTCTCTCTCTCTCTCTCTCTCTCTCTCTCTCTCTCTCTCTCTCTCTCTCTCTCTCTCTCTCTCTCTCTCTCTCTCTCTCTCTCTCTCTCTCTCTCTCTCTCTCTCTCTCTCTCTCTCTCTCTCTCTCTCTCTCGTGAGCCCCTTTTCCATATATAAGATATGTAGGTATTCACGCTGAGCTCTTTATCCATAATCCAGTAGGTATGTGATACCTACCTACTATCATGTGCTCGCTGATGCGTGCTCAGCTGAAAGCGCCCGGCAGACTGACAGTGCAACTGCAGATGCCAGTTTGCCAGGCTGCTGCTGTCACAGGTCGGTCGCCATATTGCTCCAGTCGGTGACAGATGGCCCAGTGTGTGTGTAGTGATATTTCAGAGCCTTCGGTCGTTCTGTCAGTGACATTGAGTGACCGGGACGGGGCAGACCGGACACTCAAAGTCACCTCCAGAAAGGCAGAGTGCTAGCACGCCTAAGGAGACGGGAACCATTTTCTGTGACAGCTGGGCATGGGCAAACACTAAGCGTCGTAAAAAGTGGGCGAGAACCGGATCTTGGCGTGCTAATGTGTGTCCACAGACCACTCCACTCATCCCTGCTGTGTGCAAATTAATTGATCTTTTCCTTGATCGAGTACACTGTCAGCATAGGCGGCGGAACGGGGAGGGCACCGGGGCACCGTGCCCCCTTTGATTTTGGCATTTTAACATTAGCCCTATGGGCGTTGCATGGAAAGAATGGGACCAAAGGTCGGCAGTGCCCCCCCCCCCCTTAATCGAAGGTGTTCCGCCGCTACTGACTGTCGGGTCTTCCATTCGTTGATTTATTTAGATATTCCTCGCCGCGCAGAATGACAAAGTTTGTCCTCCTAAAAAAAACTGCCCCTTGTTACATTACCAACGGAAAGAGAAGTGACGTTCGTGTGCATTTCTACTGGAACTAACACTACATTAACCCGCGCGGGGCTGGGGTCTCCAGCCGAACGCGCGGGGCTGGGGGGGGGGGGTGTAAATTTTACCCCCCCCCCCCTGTTATCTCCCGAACTAATGGTCCGATTTGAAAAATTCAAACGCCAATCGAAAGATCTCATCACGAATAACTAAAAACATGTACTTAATTTAATGTTAGAGGTCAAGGTCAAGGTCAGGTCAAGGGTACAAATTGCAAGTTCCTACAGTATCGGCCTTGCACCGTAGTTGCCGAAGAATGGAGTCATGGACTGAGACTGATTGCCCAAAACGTGTTGTTAGGCTACCTAGACAATATTCGCTGCATACAATATCATTCAGAGGTCAAGGTCAAGGTCAGGTCAGGTCAGGTCAGGTCACCAAAAACAAAATATAGAAAAGGGCATGTGCGACACATGTTTTATGGGTCATTTTACTCATAGAATTCAATAGGCACACTCAATAAGTGATATGGACCACCTCTGGATGAATTTCAGGTCGAGGTCAGGTCAAGGTCAGGTCAAGTGAGGTCAAATTTTGAAGTTGGTTGTTAAGGCCTAAAACGGTGTCCATCTGATGCAGTTTTTCACGGCGAATCGAATGGTGCTATTTTTGTTTCCGTACGAGGTCTAGAACTTCCAAAAAAATCATTTTTCAATTTTTTTGTGTGTCGTGACGTCATAAAATGTTTAATAACTCCCACATTTTTGAACCAATTCTTCTAAAAATTGGCATATAGGTGCACATAGACCACTCCTCTGACATATATTCCGGTTTTTTCGATACACTCAAAATTTTGGATTTTATAATTATTTTCCAAAAAAAAGTCAGTTTTTTGAAAAAAATGTGGGCCAAAATCCAACATTTTCAAAAAACCGAGATAGCCATTTGATAGACAAAGTAGAATTACGTATAACCTTTTTTGTTACGTCTTGATTCCTTTAAAAATGAAGATGTTAGCGGCGTTTGAAGTTTTGCCGTTTTTGAGGCGAAAATGGGGAACATGACGTCACTAAAACGTCAATTTCTCATAAAATTTCCGACGGATTTCGCTCAAATTTTCAGGGAATGTGTCAAATTGATGTAAGAAACGGTACTGAAAGTTTGGCGGCGCTACGCGCCGCCGTTTTTGAGATATTGCAAAAATTCGCGAGGGGGGTAAAATTTACCCCCCCCCCAGCCCCGCGCGGGTTAATTCTCGCCAAACTAATTAGCCCGCGCCCGCGCGCCGCTGATGCTGCTGGATTTCCATGCTGTTTTTTTTCAATCACCTCTAATTGATCTACCTGGCCAGTAGACGACACGCTGTAGGTATAGGCGACGGACGTTTGAGCGTCAAACATCATGAATAGAATAACTTACGTCGGTCACTTTTAGTTCAGGTCCCGTCAAAGGTCAGGTCACCAGGAGTCATCGAAGTCCAAATTTCACCTAATTTGACAAAACTCGAAACCTATCAAAAATACCCATTATCTGCAAAAATATCAACTTTGAAATTTGGCCTTTTTTGACCTGACATTGACCTGACCTCCACCAGGAAGTGACTTAACCCTCGCTGGCCGATGGGGGGGGGGCGGGTTCCGCCCCCCCCATAGGTTTTTTTCGCGATAGCTCCGAACACGCTGGCGATAGAGAGCTGAAACTTGGCATACCTGACCTTTGACTCAAGACCAATCTTTTAACACCACCGCATTTTCGGGTCAGGTCAGGTCACTGACCTATGACGTCATAAGTGAACCTTTGCACGGTCTTCAGATGTCGCAACTTCGCAACGCCCTCACTGCCAGAGGAGCTTTCACAGGGAAATGAAACTTGCAGGATCTAGTATCCATTACGAGTCTCACAACTTGTATATCTCGGATTTTTCATAAAGGTCATATGAGGTCAGGTCATTTTCGTGACCTCACCATTATAAGTCAATGGGGAAAAATGAAAACAGCTATTCTGGCGCCGGGAACGATCTCCAACTATCTCAAGCACACAGAATCGTGATTTGATGCACTCCTTGCAAGGTTAGATACGTCACTTTTGCAATGTTGACCTTGCGTGACCTCATTTATGACGTCATCAAGGTCATATTAGTTTTTCGTCTATACCTAACTCTTGATCAAATTGAGCTAGCGAGTCGGAAAAGCCCCCAATGGACTCAGGAAGACCTGCCGAATCGAATGATATTTGACATGACCTCTTTCGACCAACTTCGTGACCTGGGGGCGCTGACCTGACCTTGACCTGAGGTCAACACCCAAAGTTGACCTGACCCAAACAAAAAGTACATCATTGGACGCGCCTGAGCGAGGCGAACACGATGCTGCCAAGATCGGCGCTCTGCGGCTGTTTTTTGCGAAGTTATTCACCAAAAACTGAACCGTACCTTGGGACCTGACCTCAGAGGTCACCGGTTGACCTAGGACCTTAAAATCGGGTACCAATCTCTGTGTCTCGTAACGGCGCACACGCTCGTTTTTTCGCGACGCGCTAGCTCGACCAGGGGCGAAACGGTTAGGGGGGTCGTACCCGCCCCCCCCCCTCGGCCGGCGCGTATGTAGAAAACCAATAGGTTCGGCGAGGGTTAAACCGTTTCTGATGGTCTTATAACCAACGCCATTGAGTTGGATATGAAAAAATGGCCATAAAAACATGCATTGCACAGCCCTAGCATGAAATTGGGGACATGTGCTGACACCTGGTGACCTGACCTGTGACCTGGCCTGGTATTATCAGTGACCTCTAATAGCAACGTATGTAGGTACTAGGCAGCTGACGCTCTATCGCTGATTGTCGATAAAATGCGTTTTACTCGATGTTATAACTTATAGCACATTCCCTATAGGGAAGCCCGTGAACGGTAAAACATATTTTTTACCTGACCTGTGACGTCATCGGTGACCCCGAGGCCAATGAAATTGCTTTTCCTTCAACAAATTTGACAGGGCCATCGAACGCCGTTTGATTTTGCGGATCCATCCAGTAGTTTCGAAGATACGTGGGCGGGGGGGGGGGGGTAAAAATAGCCCCCCACCATGTCGCGATATAAACAGACCCCACTAGGGTGCGGGTTAACCCTCGCCGGCACAGGCCATTTTGAGTCCTTCGACGGCACAAGGGGGGGGGGTTGGTACGACCCCCCCCCCTCGCGTTTGGCCCCTGATCGAGCTAGAGCTTCGCGGAAAAAACGAGCGTGTTGCCCGTGACGAGAGGAAGCCGATGATACCCAATTTTAAGGTCCTAGGTCATCGGGTGACCTTCCAGGTCAGGTCAATGACCCGAAAACCGGGAAAATCGGGACCTGTTAGACAGTCGTAAAGTGTGGCTGCTATGTGGTTTTCCGGGGTGCTGATCACGAATATCGTGTTAGTTTTGATCATAGATGATGTCTTTAAGCATTTAGACCAGGGCGGGTCAGGTCAGGTCAGGTCAACCGGTAGGGGTTGTGACGGGTATTCGTAATACGTGTCAACCGCCTCGGACAGCTTCGTAACATGTTACGAAGGCACCAAAACTACTTCGTAAATGTTCAAATGGTTGCTAAATTCGAATTTAGCTCCAAAAACTAGCCTAGAAACATGTAAAAATTGAAAAAGTGAGCCGAGGTCACCCGAGGTCACCAAAGGTCAGTGACCTGACCTGACCTTCAGGTGACCTTGACACCCACCCTAATGCATGGGAGCAACATCAAATCACATGTTTGAACGTTTGAAACCACGAAAAGCTTGCAAACGCGCGGCTAATGCGAGCCGACATGCGCCGAACCGCGATTTCGGCCAAACATGGTCACAGAAAAGAGGTCACAGGTCAAAGGTCATTGGGGTCAGGGTCATGAAATTTTCTGGGTAGGTGTAAAATTGATCAATGCGAGGGTACTGAAAGTTTCGTCGCGATCGGCCGCTTTTTACGCGAGTTATTCGCGAAAAACCTTAGGGGGGTTGCATCAACCCCCCCCCCCCTGTGCCGGCGAGGGTTAAACATTTATTATCCTTAAAACTGCAGGCGTGACAGCTAGCTCTTCCCGTAATTTCTTTTTTGGGTCGAAAACGGCAGAGACGTCACTCTGACGTCATTTGTGGCCAACCAATCATAGGCTCTGTAAAAGGTTTTGGTCATATGGTGTAAAATTGATGGCAGAGAGGTCATAAGGTTTGGTGACGATACTCGCACTGCAACCTACCTAACCTACTTCAGGAGATATCGACTATCGACTGAAAGCAGAGGGGGGTCGTTTCGGCCCCCTCACCCCAACGGGGTACGGGTTGATTAAGAATGCGACAAACTTTTATGCGACGATATCATGCTATATGGACAGACACTCAACTGATCTAATCAGTTCCAAATAATAGGTGAAGGACACAGATGAAATATATAGCGCAAGTTCAGCTTTTTTCAAGTTCGGCGGGCGGAATAAGGCCATTATCAAATAACCAGTAGTCATATTTGTGATTAATGGTCTTTGAACGTCATTGACCGGATAACTCCATCGGTTACCCGAAACACAACATTCTACCATCCAGTTTATTGTTCACATGACAATATGCAATACACATAATCAGCTCGAATAAATCGGACAGAACCTACCAGTCGAGAATGTAATACAACCTAGCGACATGAACAGAGAAACTCGAGCGCCGCGCGTCGGCCGCCCGCCGGGGGTGTGGGCCGGCCGGCGCCGAGCCGACCAGCGGCGTCCGCCGGAGCGGGGGTACGGTGCCAGTCTGATCGGCCGGTCAGCGGCGGGACCCAGCCTCACACCCGGCGGAACACACATCTCCCCGCTGACCGGCCGAGCGCGTCACCACCCCGCCCGGCCCGGCGAGCGCCGCAGAGTCCGTCCCGGGCACCGCACGGTCCAGAGGCCTGCCGCGGGGACACGCAGCCCACGGGGCGGACCGCGGCGACTCCCGGGAGCAGGTAAAGCTGATGTGGCCGCCGCCGACCGGCCCGGACCGCCTCAGGCGGGTGTGGGGAGGGTCCAGCCCACCGCCGCCGCCGCCGCAGAGCCCGGGGGAGGTCAGCTGCATCGCCCTCAGCCAGCGCTGAGATGACACTCCCATCCCTCACATCACATTCGGACCTAAGGTATGATACAACGCGCAACCAATCAGCACTCCAACACACTGGAATACGTGGCCACACAATGAGATAAGCATGAAAGAACTCACACGCAAAAAAACCTAACATACCACGCAAACGTTATCCCACAAGCACACATCAGTCTACCCAGTGGTCAACAGCGTCAAGCCCGACCTCTCCCAGTCGCCGTCTCGTTCCAACTATCTCATTCAGTCTCGCGACCAGCCACTCATTCAAACTGTTCAGTTACGCCTGGACACAACACCACAATTTCGCCACCACACATTCACACAGCACACGAAGTCACATTTCACACTATTCGCATATGTGCGATGCCGGTCATGGTGCCTGTATAACTACACTCAAACGTTTGAGTTGGTGCTTGCCGTGCTTTATGTCGCCGGTAATTGCAATCTCTCATCCCCCATCGGTACATTCACCAGGGCTGCTGATTCCAATCAAACTCCACAAATCAAACATATGCCGTAGAGACATATCGATGTTTCATTTCATTTTCCAGATCACTCTAGTCACATAACACAGCATCGCTCATCCGGGTTTCCCCGCCTTGATCTATGTCTCCCACGCGCTCCTAGTTCACCGCCGTGATCTCTTCAGTCTCCTTCGAAAACCAAGTCAGTCCCCAGCTACCTACTCAGGTAGAGGCGAGGCAGTCAAATCACGGCCGTCTATCGTCCCAATGCCCTCCGATCATCTGTCGAGTTCACAGCTCAGTCTTTTCCGGCGTTCCAGGCTGTAGTTCGCCTTTACTGCATGAATCACTCTCAGATTCCGGCCGGTACCTCCCTATACCGCTCTCAGTCCGGCCAGTGACTCCGTCTCCCTACCCCGGGGCTCGCCGGTCAGTGGCGCCGTCACCCAGCGTTCATCACTAGCGGCGCCGGCGGCGGACCGCTGCCTCCCTCTGTGCGTCCATCCGCGGTCCTCCCGGCGCCGGCCAGCCTCCCCGTATCACACACTTCCCTGCCGTCGTCAGCGGACTGGGCCGGCCAGCCGTACTAGCCCCCTCCTATCGCCAGGACTGCCCACAGCGGCGGCGGCGGCGGGCGGGGTGCGACGCGACGCTCGATCTAGGACACTTATGAACACTCACTCGAAGCACAGTCACACCGCGCTCGCTGCGACGCGGCACAGCCGGCAGATCCGTCCGTCCGTCCGCTCCGCGGCGGCGGTGGCGGCGCGGCTCTCCTAGTGGGTCTGACATTGGACGGGGCCGCCGGGACCGCGGCCGCCGTGCATGTCGTCCTCGTCGTAGACAGCGCCGTGCGCCTGGTGGTGGCGGCGGCTCTCCTGGCGCGGGTCCAGGTCGGCCAGCTGCACCATCTCGGCGTCCTCGGGCACCGGCAGGAACGGCCTGCGGACGGAACAGGACCAGGGTGAGATAACGCCGCGAGAACGCTGAGCAGGGAAATCTAGCCCGATCACACTTAAAAGACAGTTCAAGTGGAGTCAAATTAGCATGTCCCAATCTTCCATTGAATCACACAAAAGAGCTCTAGACAATAAAAAACGTCGGTATTTCGAGTCAAACCAAAATATAAAGCAGCTGCCTTATCCGGAAAATCCCGATCAGGAGCCTCCTAACCAGCGAGGACAAGACGCGTCACCCACCTGGGCGGCAGCAGTTTCTCCAGCTGCGCTACGTTGGCCGGGTCGAGCCGCTCGGGGAAGTTGACCAGGAACTGCACGATCAGGCGGCCCTTCTCGAACGGATTCCGGTAGTGCGGCATGCCCTCGTTCAGGATGCACTTGATGACGCCGTGCTTGATGACCTCGCCTGGGGAAAAACGGGGGAAGGTCACAGCTCAGGCTGGGGTGACAAGCAATGTGATGTGGGGTTGAACGTGTTCACACTTCTAGCTGGTTTGCGTTGTTGGCGCCATATGAAGGAAAACAGCATGAAAAGAAAAACAAAAACACGGGCACGTAAGCATTAAGAGCACGTTAAGATTTTAAATCCGCAACCATTATGATCAAACCGCCTACTTTTACATTTTAGCCTTTCATACCATACTTCAACCTTCAAAGGATACCAAAAATTATTTTGTTCTGACAAAATATTACTACGAAGCACCATGAAGGATCCTGAAATGCATGCCGTACCTGGTATGCAGGTGAGCAGCAATGAGCGTTTGTCCAGCGTGGTGATGGTCTTCTGGAAGCCGCACAGCGCCTCCACCAGCTCGATTTCCATCTTCATGATGAGGTCGTCGCCGTCCCGCCTGACGGAGAAGAGGGAGCCGGTGAGTCGGAGCGAGAGGGGCAGGGGAGACAGACGGCGCGGCGTGCGGGGAATAGAGCGAGAAGGGCATGGTGGAATGGAAGAGGAGGGACTGTCGTAGAGAAATGGGAGGGGGCTGGGGGAGTGATCAGAAGTGGGGGGAAACAATACTCCGCTATCGACGGTGTATCTGATTGCTCAACTCGCATACCAGAAACACGGTGACAGGGATAGTGGTAAGATAGGCGCTTACCCGGCTGCTTAAAGGATACAAGGTACAGGACAGATAAGAGGGGCCCCACACACAATGGTCATACCGGAAGTAGGTAACACTGAACGGCAACCGACCGCACTTGAGCCATCCAATCAGACAGGATACTGAATAAAACCACCGGCACTTCAGGAAACAAATCTGACTATCATTGGATCGGTGACCCCCGAACAAAAACACGCCGCCACGGCTGACGTTTACAGCACTTACTTGAAGGTCTCGTGCTCGCGCTCGTCGAGCACAATGATGATGTCTCCGGGCTCGAGGCCCGGCTCCTGGTCACCCTCGCCGCTGAACGTGATCCGCTGGTCGTCCGTCATACCCTTGTCGATGTGTACCTCCAGAATCTTTTTGGTCCGAACCACCTGAAAACGATCAGAGTATGCACGTTATTGCACAATTAAAATGAGTCAGCAGAGCAGACATCTCCAAAATAAAAAGGCAAACCCGCGACGACTTAGAGATATCTGAACGTTTACCCTGAGCGTATCCTTTCTAACAGACTATCCCCTGCCAGCACCACACCTCCCGGTGAGCTGTCTCCGTACCTTTTTGCCGTTGCAGTGTTTGCACCTGTCGCGCGGGTTGATGCGCTCGCCCTGGCCGCGGCACTCGTCGCACATGGACTGGATCTGCTGCACGAAGCCGGGCCCCAGCTGCTGTACGCGGATCTGCATCCCGGATCCGCGGCAGTTGGGACACGTCTCCACGGCGCCCTTCTTGCCGCCGCGGCCCTCGCAGCGCTCGCAGATGACGTTCTTCTGCAGGGAGAGCTTGCGCGTGGCGCCGTTGTACATCTCCTCCAGGGTGACGGGCAGCTGATGGACCACGTTCTTACCCCTGCGGACGAAAGGAAAGGGCCGGCGAGGGTCACACATCGGTACTGGTGGTGGGGGACGGGGCAGGCCTTGCGCCACCGATAGCGGCACCTCAAGGGAGTCGCGACTCGCGCGTTTAAAGACGGCTCTAACGTTGACAAAAATAATGAATCGGTGTGCAAAAGGAGCTGAAAATGAGAAATAAAAAGTAACAGAGCTGGTACGCCATACGGGACCAGAACAATTGACGGAAACGCATCTCAGGCAACCAGATCACTTATAGATTCTCGAATACTCCTTCGGTAATGCGCAGTTGGAATATGCTAGATCGTCCGGTCCATGCCGTCAGAGCGGTGGCCCGTCAGATCATCCTACGGCCGGCGGAGCGGAAACGCCCGTCAGCGGATCCGTGAACAGGATGTGACGTCACACCGTAATTCCACGGCGTCATACCAGCACGTGTTGATGACGTCACACCCATGGCGTGTTCAGGGATATCGGTCAATAATACCGAAGCGACGAGAACAGCCTAAGCCGCTATTGAAGCAGACTTGCAAAAGCCGGCACCAACAACCGGACCAGCGAGGCGTACTCACGAGTACGACACGGAAACTATCCATCTCCGACAGAAATAATCAGGGTTGGCAAATTTATGCCAGCAGCCGGTTTAAACCGGTTTAATCCATGGATTAAACCGGCTGGCATAAACTAATTTAAGCCACCCCGGTTTAAACCAGTGTGCACCAACATAATAAAAGCCACTTACGTTAACTTGTCGTAACATCACTTGGGTTAAACAGCTTCTTCTCTTCACATTTTCTATACACACCTTTCAATTTTACCTGCTAACTTGTAATGTTTTTTCCTGGGGGTTGACTTTATGTGATTCATTATTGATCTGTATCACCCTGTATCAAATGTTTATTTTGATTTGCAGTGTTTTACACAACTAGTTGTTTACATGGGTGGTTTATGAAATGAAAGGTCTTGGAGACAGCTTCAATAAAGAAACCAATTTCAATTTTATGAGAAGCTGTAGCAAACATGACCTAATGCCAAATGCATGGTGCAAGGATCAGTGATTGGTAAGGCCTAAGAACTATCATACAGAACATTGCCCATTTACTAGGGAACTGTCTATTGCTTAAGCAGTCAGTGACACTAAACAAAGGAATTGACAGCACGGCCACCATTATAGGCTCCAAAGTACATGTAAAAAACAATAAGTGTGATTAGTTAGGGACACTGTTATACCAAGAAAACAACATGCACTACCTGAAAAAAACACAAACCATAGGAACATTCCAGAAGATTTATAAATGATGAGTTGTTACAATTATTTCCTGTGCAATTAAATCACAGAATGGGTGATACCTAGTACCTACCATGATAAATAATTTTTTTCTAGTGTTTCTGGCCCAGTCCCCAGACGATTGGTCAGAATACATTTTACATGTAAAATAAAGTGAGACTTTTAAACTGGTAAACCGAATGTTAAGATTAGAATGTGCTTATGCCTTATCCCTACTTTGTTTCTTAGCTTAGTTACCTACTGACCAGATTGTCAACATAATCACATGCCAAAATGTTGACATAATGCCAAATGACACAGGTATTGACTTCGTGCACTCTGCACATTCACCAACGAGTACACTGACCCACAAGATAAGTTATAGAAGATGTTTTGACTGAAGGTGGTTTTTATTAATTTAAGCCGGTTTAAACCGGTTTAAACCACTGGCTGGTATAAATTCAATTTAAGCCGGCTTTTATCCAACCCTGGAAATAATGCTTTTAAGGCTGAAACAGACTCTTTCCGCGTTCAGGAAATCGCATGCGAGAGCCTATTCAAATACATTATAATTCTTCCCGCATCAATCGCATGCGGGAGGTGTGTGCGATTGATGCGAGCGTGCCTCCATGTATTTGAATAGGCTCTCGCATGCGATTTCCTGACTGCGGAAAGAGTCTGTTTCAGCCATTAACCATGACTCGACAGTTCTAGACCATTCAACGGCCGCCCGTACATAAGAAACCGTTCCCAAAGCTTGGGATATCATAAAAACGTGATAAATTGGGAAAACTTCGAATCTGAAACTGCTACAATGTCACTTTTGGTTTCCCAATTGCCCACGCGAAATACCCGACCAAAGGGGTGGGCGCTTACCTGCGCTCGCGCTCCTTGCGGTGTCCTCCGCCGCCGAAGAACATGTCGAAGATGTCCATAGGCGAGTGGAAGCCGCCGCCACCGCCGCCCGATCCGCCCTCCTTGATGGCCTGTTCGCCACCCTCGTCATAGATCTGCCGCTTCTTCTCGTCAGAAAGCACCTCGTACGCCTGCGAGATCGCCTTGAAGCGCTCCCCCTCGGACGGGTTCTTGTCCGGGTGGTACTTGAGCGCCAGCTTGCGGTAGGCCTTCTTCAGCTCATCGGCCGTGGCGGAGGGTTTCACCCCCAGCACGTCGTAATAGCCAGTCTCCTTCACCATTGTGGAGGATCTGAAAATGGCCAGCAGTGTGCATGGTCAGATGCAGTGCAAGCAGGTTGGTTGTGGTCAGATGGCTGGTGTGAGCAGGCAGCAGCTTAATATTTATATTGAATATTGTCAACATTTTCTTTGGTTGCAAATGCAAACTAATGATTAAAATACGGGGAAAATGGTGATTAGAATTAGGGGAAATCAAGGACATTTCAAGTCTCAAGGATTGTTTTTCTGTCATTTTAACATTATCACTCCATATAAGTGATGATGTGCTGTTATGTTCCAACTTCCAAGCACTGTTGTGCTTGCACTGTGTTTCGAATGGAATCACTTTGCACACCAAGTCTAGGCTAAATTGTATATTGGGCCTTTGCAGATCAGCAAAAAAAAACTTAACGTAGCTGGGGTCATTATCTATTGGGCATACTGTAAAGCACAGCAACAAATGCGCTGCCTCAGCTACCATCAATGGAAACAAATCCACTGCCTCAGCTCACACCAACCAGGCTGGTACTCTTGACCAGTAAAAACAAAAACCCAATACTTTTCCAACCTACCAAATCTGTGAATATGCTCAGCTAAACAGGATTGATTAATAATTCTTAGTCAGCAGTCAGCACCATTGTGTACAGTGCATCATATTCACAGAAACTACCTACTGAGTAGTGAGTAGTTCATGAACGCACCATACATAAGGGTCACACCTCTCCATGTAATATTGAGTTATGCACCACACTTGCACTGCTGCAATTCTGCACCTCAGTACATACCAGCCAGCTGCCTTGCCCAACCCACAGGATTAGGCTAAATCTCTGGTTTGCCCAATACTGCCCCATCTATGGCACACTGTGCAAGTATTTCCTTCCAGAGTAGATGCTTCCCCACAAACTACAGAGCCAATGGTGTATAGTGACACATCCTATAGCCATAGGATGTGGCTATAGACGTTTGCCATTTGAATACTGGTGTACCTTGCCACCCTGGTTCCTGACAAAGGGCCTGTTCCAGCGCCTCCAGTAGAAATTCTTGACTGGAGGCTCTACCAGAGGTTTCACTGGAGGCGCTGGAACGCAATCTGGAGATTTCTGGAGATTGGTGTCACAGATACCAAAAGAATGACTATTGTTCTCTCTTGAAACACATAATTTGTTTTCAATTCTATTAAGAAAGATTAACAAAATTGTAGCAATGTAATTTTCTTTACATTTTAGTTTTAAAATTGTCAGTCAGAAGTCCTTTGTTAACATTCATGATCGTCACATGTGCGCCATAGTTGTAGACCAGAGCCTCCAGAGAAATTTGGACCTCTCAACCCTCTGGAGGCTACTGGAGGTCTCTGGAACTTTGGGGAGAGCTTTCTGGAGCTTTCTGGAGCTTTCTGGAGGCGCTGGAACGCTCTTTGGAGGATTCTAGAGCTTTCTGGAGGTTTCTGGAGGTGCTGGAACAGACCCAAAGCAAACCCATACATAGGATAGGACGCTGGCGAAAACAGGGCGCCGGAGGGCATAGTTGATCACATGACTACCTAGGCTATGGAGAAGTTCTCCCCCTCTTGATGCCTCCTACACAGTGATTGTCACGCGGTTCGTGCACGTAAATTTCCAGAGCCTTGATCAAACCGCCCTAGGCACCCTGTTTTCACCATCGTCCCATACACCCATCCTGATCCCTTTAACAACAAACTTACGCGACAGGCATAGCTTAATGTGTCTGACCCAAACGAAGCCAAGCAGCTCCTAAGAAAAGCTCAACTTGATTCACACAGAACTTATGCTGATGCACGTAGGCACTACCTATTCTCATAAACTCAAATCCCGAGCTGAAGCACGAGACCAACGGTGGCAGCCCTTCGCTTCCAAGTCTCTTTCCCCTGCAAGAACGGACTTTGAACTAATCAGAATCGGACCAAGTCATGGCATAAATACTCACCGAGGTACTCCAGATTACTGTGGAATGCTCTGGAACCAACCCTCGTAGGCCATGTGCAGAGAGAAAGGCCAATATCGCTCCCCACGCTGCTGATGCGCCGAATCGCCCCAGGGCAGCGTGGAAGGCCCGAGAAGGTATTAGAGTAGCGAAATTTTTGCTGGATCTTTTTTCAAAAAGATGAAAATCGAAAAATCTTGATGTTATTTTTCTGTCAACTCAGAGGGAGAGATATAAAAATAAAATTTTCCAATGATGAGTAAAAAAGTTGATTAATTATTAAATTAATTTTGATGTGCAACACAGACTCATTACCAAACAAAATGCTGCCTCTAGTGACGTAGTCAAGGGATCAGCTGTTTAGAAACTGGTTTGGCAGACGAAATGTTGGACTTATTTTCATTTATTATCAGTTTTCTTTGTAACAATACTTATCATCTCCTTCTCTTTGAAACACACCAAAAATATTAGCTTTTGATTTTATCAAAGCTTTATTCGTCCGAGTAACAGAAACTTTGGCCCGCCTGTTTCGATCAATTTGAAATTCATCAGCTGTTCGGTGCTAAAGTTCTTGATGTAAGCGCGGATCGCGTTTTGACTTTTGTATTTTTGACGAGAGAGTTGAAGAAAAAAGAGCGTTTGAAATTGTTTTAATTGTTAGGAGGGATCGGAGGGATCCACACGCGACTAATATTGCGATCGTAGGTAGACAATTATTCGAATTTATTACTAGATCGCTGCCATGTTTTAGTGAAAGGATGGGAGTGTTGTGTTTCATATGGTTTGTAACATTTCCCAGGCCTGCGTGTTTTTTCGTTTTCTTGCTACCTACACATCGGTACAAGTTACATTAACCCGGTTTACATAGCATATTTGACGAGGCTCTAGCTCGTTAATTTGGCGATAATTTCGATGCAGTCGTCTTCAGATATTTAGAGGGGATTATTTTGTAAATTGTTAAGCACCATTGGCATCTTTTGCAACATCATGGACGGAGATATAAGCTTGCAACAAACCCTATGTAAACGCGTCTATTATATGAATTCAATTTGCTCTTGAATGATCCAGTCATACGTCAAATTTTAGTAAAAGCAGCTTAACCATCCATCCGGGTTCGATTCCCGAATCCCGGGCAATGCATGTGGCATTGCCGCTACCTGACCGCTTGGAACAGCGTGAGAGTTTCGGTTCAGGTTAGCGCCTTGGTCCACTGGATGTGGTGCTAAACCCAAACAAACCAACCAACCACCTCAACTCAGGTGTCTTTGGCAATTGGCAGGGCTGCATTTTCTTCATTGCCATGGTGATGGTTTTGAAAAAATGCTAATTAAATTTCAATAAAAGTGTAATAAAAAGCATCAGTGGTTACATACATACTTTCAATATTTTGATGAAATACCTACTTCAAACTATCAATACTGACATTGTCCACAGCTTTGACGGTATGCACTCACCTGGCGGCTGGCTGACTATGCACAATGCAGTCCTTGCAGTTGCTCTACACAAGGGGCCCGACCAACTGGCAACCCACTACCCAGTGGCGGTGGGAGTGAGACCTGAAGAGTTCACATTTTTTGGCCAGTGTTGTTCATGACAGCAGTCCATCTTCAGGAGAGGGCCCAGATGGAGCATGGGACCAGGCCTGTGCCACCATTTACTGAACCTATTACCTGTGATATGTTGAATGGGCTAAGCTCCTGAATAAGGCAACTTTTGCAAGTTTCAGTTGCCAAGCTACCTATTTAACAATGTCACTTTTTTAATAATACAAGTAATGAAAACCTAATGACTCGATCATCGCAATCCCTTGCAATTGACTAGGGACTAGGGACATGTTCCGACAGTTTCAGTCACCAGGCAAAGGTGAAGAATACATTTAAAGTTCTCATTTTTAGCTTGCTTCAGGTTGAAACTTTAAAGCTGAATGAATTATTTGGATCCATCTGGGCTCAGAAAAGGGCAGTAATGTTTGCTTGGTGCCTTTTACTGTCTGCCTTGAATGTCACAGTACCATCATACAGCATAGGTACCAGCTGATAAAAAAGCAAATGAGAAAATAAGCCAAAAGCATCTACCTAATTTCTCATTCCTTCCTGATTCCATGCTTACCACCTACGTGCTCACGCTGGGAATCACGTTACATGATTCCCAGCACTTATTTATGTGACAAGCTGCAACAGGGATGAGCAAAGAATACCAAAAGGTCCTTTGTCCACCACTGTGCTGTGCTTAGACTAAAAGAGATGCTAACATGTTACCTGACCATGGCAAAGTTGCACTGGCCTCGCTACCCTCTGGTACTCACTGATAAGATCTTATTGAAGTTGTCATGCTTTTCAGTAATAGGACTACTTGATAACTGTGCCAGAATATGGCAATGTTTGAAGAATGCTGAAGAGTTATGATGAAGAAAAACTTGCATTGGTGTACATTTATTTGGTGTTACATCGATTTATTATAACATTTTTAACACATTATTATTAACATCATTATAATATTTATTGTAACATCAACTATTATACCCTGTGTTACTGTTATTATGTCAGGGGATTCTTTGCTCTGAATGTCAGTTGCAACTCATGCAAGCAATGATTTAATAATGCCCATGTAATTTTCTTTTTACAGATCTGACGTTTTCCAGCTGAGACTGTGACGAGCTGATTGTTGGTAACTGTAGATTATCTGAACAACTTTTAACGCCATGCCTGCCAAGGACATCTTCTATTCGGACAAGTACTGCGACGACAAATATGAGTACAGGTATGATATTGTACGCATCATGCTGATAAATTAATATCAGCATGCACACACAGGGGTGTCGTTTTCCGAAAATGATTGGTAGTGCCCAAAGGCGGTGGCTGGCCATATATGACGGGGCTTACAAGGTAGGGTACCCCCAAATCTGCCTTTCTCATCGGATTTCGGCCACTTATTTTTCGCCCTGGTCATTGACAAGACTAACCGAAATCTAAAAAAACACAAAAAAAAAACTTTGGAAATCTGGGTCCACACCGGACGCCATGCACAAAACGTGCAGTTATATAGGCAATAGTGTCGGAGGAATGCACGCCATTCTGAAAGAGGCCCACATCGACTTAAAAGGACGGCTGTGCTGAAAGGGGACAGGAACAGCTTTGAGGGCCCAAGCCGACTAAAAAAGACGGCTGCGGGGCCAGGAACGGTTTTGAAGACCCACGCCAATTGAAGGGTTCGACAACTAACGAGGACTGGAAACACAACGATAGTTAGAAAGACCTGCTTGCCAAAATAAAAGGATGACAGTACGAGGGGCGTTCAGAAAGCTACGGGCCCGAACATGAAGGAGCAGAGAGATACAGCATCGACTCATTAGACCAAAAAGTTCATTTATTCAAATAAACACCGTTAAGACAAACACATTTCGCGCAGCGCTTCGCGAGAGCCCTCAAGGCCTCCATAACCAAGTGGGTTTTGGACCCATCCTGCACGTCCAAGACGGCTGATTTCGTCTCCCTGCTGTTAGCGAGGTTGCCGCTGCTAATTTTCTTATGTTGGGGAAGAGGTGGCAACCACTAACCAGAGTGTGCAAGGTTCGGAGAGAAAAAAGTGGATGCGACAACAACTCGAAGCTCATCGCTTCACTGTTCGTCATCCCGCCCATGTACGCAGGTGCGTGGTCGCGGATCAGGTGCACACTTTACGTCAGCTTCCCTATAGCCTCTCCTCGATGTTTATCGAATGGACGCACATCATCAATTGTGTGCCCCTGTTTTGGAAAGTTGACGAGCGGAGGGGGGTCGCATCGACCCCTCCCCCTGCCAGGCCGTGTTATGAAGAATGCCCAGGGCGAGGGTTAACGCTTGGTGCCTTTTCTGCACTAACTACTATGAAACGAATCACTGCTCTCTTCTGGGCGTCGCCCATCCTATCCGAAATGGCGAACTATGCTACGAATAGAAGCCCGAATCAATCACAGAAGAGACTTAATTAATGGCCACTTACTTAATTTGCGTAAGTGGACATCCCAATAACACATCATTTAACACACCGCCTTGCAGGCCAAAATTCCAACTCCTTCATTGTTCGGCCCGAAACTTTTTGAACGCCCCTCGTAGTTACGAGCTTCAGTTTTCGGGGTCTGATGCGGTAATGACCTGGCGTTGAATCCTGGGGAATCAGGCTGCATCACCCACTCAAATCAATATACCATTACCTATGGCCTATTCTGGAGCACCGCGGCACCTTCCGAAGTCGGTGTAGGGCCTCCAGCGGCTGGTGTGGAGACGGATCGGGGTCTATTAGGGGCGGTCGCGTGGTATGCGGGACTCAGAGGCAGTTATGGACCTCTATAACCAATTGCGTTTTCGAGCCTCTTAAAATCCATTAAGGACCGGAGTCCTAGACACGTGAAACCTCATTGTCAGCTACATGCACCTACTGTGGCTAGAACCTTATTTATGTACTTGCATATGTGCTTATTTAATATTTGCTTATCTGTTTATTTTGATTTTTTATCAACTGATAAGTGACAAAAGATTGGTAGGGCTCAGCGAACATTGGTAGGGCCCAAATAAACATTGGTAGGTAAGGCTCGGGCCCTACCAGGCCTATACAAAACGACGCCCCTGGCCCTGACTATTGTGAAACTTGGTAGGTAGGTAGGTAGGTAGGTAGGTACCACATAACTTGAAATTACTTGACGTAATGACATGATGTGGAAAGTGAAAATGATACCTAGGTATTGATGGAAATTTATGGACTTAGGTACGCTACAAGAAGATTGAATTGGTCAACCAATTCTAATTCAATCTACTTGTGGAGTAAGTCTATAGATTTTCATCAATAGTTACCACTTACCATTGAAGTTACTTGCTATCATGTTGATTTTATACATAAGAACCTCATTCATTTTATTTGTATGACATGTTTGAATGCAATTTTCTCAATAAGTGAAGAAAAATGTTGGTAGTGCTCAACAACACATTGGTAGTGCTCAGCTGAACATTGGTAGTGCTCGGGCACTCCCAGGCCTATACAAAACGACGCCCCTGTGCACACATGCATCCATACCATTTACCCAGTTGGTGAAGTTGACGGGATTTGAAACCTCGTTTTACATCCATGCATAGGTCTATACTTTATAATAAAAGCATGCCATCCAAAAATTGCAAAAGGCAGTCTCTTGAACCGACCTTAGTCACAGCTGATAGGCCGGTACGTAGCACACATTTTGGCCCTTGCCAATCACCCAACAGCTCCGCCCTTTTCTCGACTGATGTTACCGTAATTGCTTTACGACCCCATGCCCACGCCCTACGACCCCATGCCCACGCCCTACGACCCCATGCCCACGCCCTACGACCCCATGCCCACGCCCTACGACCCCATGCCCACGCCCTACGACCCCAACCCCATGCACCTACACCGCACGGCTACACGTCCTGCACATGGAAATTTATCAGTTTCCTCAAACTTGTGTCATTTAGTCTAAACAAGTTTTATCGACACAGCCATCAGCTGAAAGTTCAATCATCTATAGTAGTTATGCCATTATGAATTGCCCGTCTGAGACCACTGTCCCGGCTGACCGCAGCGGCGGCCCGTCTCGATGACACTCTGCTGTTGTGCTGCGGCAGGCACGTGCTGCTGCCGAAGGACCTGGTGGAGCTGGTGCCCAAGACGCACCTGATGACGGAGACCGAGTGGCGCAGCATCGGCGTCCAGCAGAGCCGCGGCTGGGTCCACTACATGATCCACGAGCCCGGTACGTGTCGATTACAGCGGGACGTGGGCTCGATTAGAGCGGGCAATGGGCTACTAACGAACCCGGAACATGTAACCAGCAGCGGGCTATGACCCTTAATGAACCCATTATTTGTGCTGAAGAAGGGACCGCGAGATCCTAGCCTGTATGTCATCCTCAGCCGGTGAGTTTCTCACTTCCCACTGGCTGAGGCTATACTGCATTTGGTAAACAATACTCAGGCTAGGTTCCACGTCAGTGGTAGATGGATCTTGACCAAAAAATGTCATAATAATGATTTCAAAAGTAAGGACCCAGTGGAGCATCGCTTATTTTCGGGAAAGTAGCACCGAGCTCAGCAAGCCACTTGGCATGCAGATTCGTCTGACCGGGCTGTACGCTATCAATCTGTGGACGTCGACCAGTCAGAAGCCCGAATGGGCTCCGGGATCTGTCTTCGGATTCAGCTACTCCTAGGAAGCTGCAGTTACAGTTAAACAGAACGCGCCCGGTGGCATAAAAATCCATGGGTAGCTGCAGCTTTTCGTTTTCCACCGTCGTCGTTCCTTACGATGGCGTCGTCACAAGCAAGTTACTAACTGGGATTGTTAGAATTCCATCCTAGTGTAATGAACAATTCAGTACTAATCATGTAAGAGTCTCGCAACTTTGAGCTATAAAGCTGAATGAAGTGAAGTGGTAAATGAATGGCATTGGCGATTGGGTGCGAGGCGAGGTGGTGGCGCCATCTGACCCCATTACACACCAGCCTGTGCGCAAGCGACCTAGGAGCAGAGCTTCCGCTGTAGTCCGCCAGATGGCAACATTAGCCCGCTCCAAACGGTACGTGAACCTGCGATGCTCATCGCTCACAGAAAGTGGTTCACGCGCTGCTAAGCGTTGCTGTCGAAACTGGCGGCCCTGGTGCTTACCCGTGTCTCTCCGGAGACTAACCGGGCCTAACTGGCAGCGTCCGGCTCCTGCCAGCTGTCTGCTTCCGATGCGTGCGCTGGTATGAGCGCTTGGTCGCCGACGCCGACGTCGTGAGATCCCAATAAGTTGTCGAAATTAGTTTAACCACTTAACTTACTAGACTTAAACTGCTAGGGTGGGCAGATCTTTTTTAGCCGGGCAATGCAAGTACTAAATCAATTGACGTAGGCCACCCTAGTAGGTAGTGTTCTGGCGTGAACTTTATTTTAGGAATTTATGTTTAGAATCATATCTGCTTAATGCAGTATTTGCACTTAGCAGACATAGTAATTCAAGTCCAGTGCTAAGCTAAGAACATGGCTAGTGGCTACGTATGCTGTTTATTTATTTCTTACGCGGGAGATAGCTGAGCTCATGACGCAGACACCCTCGTCCCTCAGCATGTACCGAATGACCCGTCTATAAAATGTGGTCCAAGGTCGTGTTTATCCAGGGCCTGTCGTTCCGCGCTGACTCTGGTTCTTCTTTCCTCCACAGAGCCCCATATTCTGCTGTTCAAGCGGGCGCTGCCCAAAACGGAAAAGATGGAGGTGAGCGACAAGTAGCCAGCCTCCCGGCGACTGCCTTTACCCTCACTGTCTCAAGTTCCATCCAGTGCGCGGCCCGGTCCGTGCCCACACAGACACACCGTCCCATGCAGCGCGCGGCTGTGCCGTACCGCGGCCTCTCCAATGTGATACGGGGCGCGGTGGGACGCCACGCAATGTCCGGCCGCGGCCTGCGTGGACCGGGCCCGGCGGGGCACCCCGCCGACCGTCACCTCACTGTTCCATCATCAGCTCTCCTCTCATCAGCCTTCTGACTCTGTCCGCGCTGGGACCGCGCTCAATGGAGGTGTTACGCCGTCGCTCGTGTTATTGTTCTATCAGCGCTGCTCTTGCGATTCTGTCTCGTTCGGGCGGTTTTTATGGGGTTCCGTCGGGAGGATTAGGGGTGCCCTGGAGCCGTCGAGTCTCGTCAGTCTGTGCAGATTTTACACTCTCATTAGTGATATGAGGTGGTTCACGTTGCATTAAAGGGCAAAATATATGTTGATGTGTATCTGATGTTTGTGGTTTTAGTGGCGACACTACGGAACTTTCGTGCACAAAATAACATTTGAATTGATATAATAACAGAGGAAACGTTAAGTTCCCCTGCTTACATTTGTAACACATTACGTTGGCTGGACTTAGCACAACTGAGGGGACAGACGCCGAGTGGGGACGAAACAGCCACTCCGGCCACAGCGTGAGGGAGCACCCTGTACCGGACCTCCTGCCGACTGCGACCACTAGGGATGCTCCTGGCGTGGACCGGAGCCCACTGTGCGCCGCTCCGGTCGGCCTGTGCGGTTTGGGTGCCGGGTGGGCCGCGTGTGACCCACTGTGCGCTCCGGTCCACCTCTGTGCGGTTTGTGCGCCGGGTGGGCCGCGTCCCCGGCCGCCGCGGACCGACAGACCCGCGCGCCGCTGACGGACGCGCCTGTCCCGGTGGTTTATTTGGAGACGCTGCTGGACTGGGTGGTCCCAACTCGCCCTCACACACAGCCGGACGGTATGGGGACGGAGGGGCAGAAATGGTGGTCTCCAGCGGGTAGGTTAGGGCGGGATCCGACCGAAAATAATGTGTAAAACGACGTCCAGAGCTGGACTTCCGAACCGCTTCAGTTGTGCTGAAATTCTGTCGTTCTTACTTCACAGTGATCAATTGCAATTTTCCGTTTACGTTGTCTCTTTCTTCACCCGAACCATGCTTTTTGAACGATAAAGGTGTCAAATTGTATCATGACATTTGGCCGAAATTTAGATGCATTTTTAGCTGTCGGTCGGCGCGTTTTTAGTTTTTGACGTCAACCTTTGTACTTGCTGTCCCTGTTTGGCGGCACAATACGATACGATTAATGGTTTGAGTGCTATGACTAGACAGTTCATTAGTTTCCGAGTGAGTCAGAACAGCATCCGCGGCTGGCGTCTTCCAAGGACCTTTTTGTGGGTGCGCTAGTTGGCCTCCTCGGAGGTAGTTTAGATGTCACCTCCACGGCACCAAGCAGGCAGCACGCACGTCGCACACAAAACGATATAAAGGATTGAACTCTGAGCGCCTGGGCGGTTTTGTACAGATCAATAACATTGTTACGCAGCTTGTTACGGTTCCGTCTGCCATTGCTCATTGCTAAAGACCAAGTAAATTGCACAGTCAGTCAAATTAAGTCAACGCTTCCACTTTTTTTTCTCCGGCGCCCATATTATATTAAAGCCATTGTGTCGTCGGCTGCGTCACCTCTCAGCTCCTTTATTCTTCTGGCCCCTTTTACTCCAGCACCCCTCCCCCTTCTCCAGTTTCCGGTGTGGTGGCGAAGCGTGCCAAAATAGCGCGTGCCTCCACCACAAACCCCTGCATGTGGCCATGCTGCGGTGAGCGACGATACACGCCACCTGACCTCACCTCACACGAGGGGGAAGGGGGGCACCTGGACCCGCCTCCGGGGCTGAGTCGGTTCCGGTGCTGCGGTCAGCAGCGGGATTCTCCCCCCCCCCCCCTCCACACGGCTTTGTCATGGTGCTGACCTGGGGGGGGGGGGGCAGTGTGACCGGTGATCTCTGCAGCGCAGGCTACAGAGAGTATTGTGATGGGTTGCAATCAGGTCAGATCCTTCGGTAGGTAGGTATTCAATAAGCAGAAATTTAAATAGTTATCGAAAGTCGAAATACTCACTCAGTACACTACTTACACATGTCAATTTTACCCGGAAATATTCCTCGGACGACGCCCCGAGCACAACCTATGACCTCCAGCACTTACTGCAGAGCACCGTGGGAAAGCACGCTGCCTCACGCACTGCCCAAGCTGTGCCATTTTGCACGGCTGTGCACAGCACGCATCTGTGACGCGCCGTAGATGCGTCGCCCCGGGTTGGTGCAGTGTCACGCCCGTCACCAGCCGACAGTCGGGACTCAGTGGGAGGCAGCGCCGGCATCTGACACGAGCGCCGCGAAATTCACCGAGTCGAACCAGGATGAAACGGTTATTTTTGTTGGATTAGGCTCTCAGTGCCTAAAAGCTCATCTTATGAGTCATGGGATGGGCTAATGAGTGCAGAGAGGCATTGGGCCAAGTCGACCACTGGCTGAAGGGCCGAGGCGGCTGAGTGGCTTTTCCGTTACATTGGGACAGCATCGTATTCGCAACCCAAGGAAATGGTCGCCGGTGCACTCAAACGGTCACCTTACCAAATAGATCTTTCTATATGATGGCCTGGCTAGTATACCCACATTACAGGCGCAACAATGTATTTATTACGGTGGCGAATATTTATAAGGACTCCAACCAGCTGCACGTCGTGTGCGACAATATAGCTATTGTCCCCCCCCCCCCCCCCGGGACTCACCGCCGAAATAAGCCACTCCCAGTCCCCTGCCATGCCCTGTACCAACCACGCGGTCCGCCCGGCCTCGGCGATAGGTAAACATGGTGACACTGCCCCTCTGCCGGGTCGCCGGCTGAGTGAGCGGTGAAAATAAACATCTCCCGACCGGCCGGCCGGCCGGGGCTCCCTGCCGCCAGTCGCTCAGACGGTCTCCGAGTGTAGCCCCGGGCGGTGCGTGTCGCGCGGGGTCGGTCACCGGCGCGGATAGCCCGAGCGGCTGTGGCTTGGGCAGTGCGCAGAGCCAGAGCGATGGGTCGGACCGGCACAGGGAGAACGGGAGGGCTGCTGCTGCTCGTGGTGATACTGATCAACAGGTAAGTTATGAATTATGATTATCTTCCAATAGATTTGGAGCTCAGCTTGGCATCAATTACTGTTGCTCATTGCTGTAGGACGAAGCACAGCCGATCGACAGACAGCCATTAGAGATCCATTCATCCATCAGGTCCTGGGCCCATCACCATGGTCCCGCTAAATCCCACCCTCAGGGTGGTCGGAACCGCTACGTTCACTGTCCGATGCGCCTAAAGCTGTCATTTCTCCGCAAATGATTGTGCAAATCGACTGGCACCTCACCCTCAAAATTGTTTCGAGGTCAAAGTTATGTAATATTGTGCTCGGTACGGATAGGTTATTCATTATTCATAAGAGCCGCCGCATGCAGCTAGTGGCGAGTCTTTGTGGAACCTTTCCCGCGAAGCTGCATGTGGGGCAAACCGAAGCGCAAATAGTGTGTTTTTTTTTGCTTTGTTTTGTTGGGACCATGCTCTTTCGGCCTGAAAAGACCACTGCAGAGCTACATGGGATATTAGGATAGGGCGTAGACACTAGACATTGGGCTGTGCGGGACACTGACAGTGAGCCGCGGAGGCGAGACGGTCCCGGTGTGACCGGATTGATCCGCTGGGAGACCGGACACAGTGGACAGCCTGCTCGCCGCTCAAACGGTCACCCCTGAGACTGGAGAGGATTTTACCGGGTCCCGGTGTGGGCCCGGCCTCATCCACCGGTTGGCTGGTGAGGTGGGGTGACCGCCAGCCCGAAAAGGGAAGCGTGAGGGGATGCGGATGGGTTTGTCTCGAGGATGGTGAGAACGGATGCGAAAAGAGTCATAGGCTATTGTAACTTATAGGGCCAAAGCTCGTGAGTTTCGGCGCACTTTCCGTGCGTCGGCATATGATCGGTCCTGCATAGGGCTTTGTGAGGTGGCATAGGCTAAAGCCTGCACAAACGGTTCTTGCACCAATTAATTGGCATTATCCGAAATTTCTGTCACTGCTTTATACAATCGATGGTTCTAACTTGGAATTCGCGTCCCGTCTCAGTTAGTCGTTCATTCCACGATCGTCTGGCGTTCAGAAAAGTAACGGCCAGACAAAGCAAATGACCGCCTTTCATGACCATGATCGTATCATCCAGTGCATACCTCGGGGTGGCCATGTAACACGCCACACGGCCCGACCGGTGCTGACAGAAGTCACCTCACGTGACCCCGCCCGACCCTTGCCGGCTAATGTCACGTGACTGGTCGTGCTGACGTATAGCCTAGTCACGTGACCGGCCGTGCGGTGAGCGTCCGGTGTGCAGTGCAGTGTGCAGTTGCTCGCCGCGTACGAGGTGTTGTGTTTACCCAGGCGCCGGCGGGTCGCTCTGGCCGGTGAATCAGGGGCAGTTTCGGGCCGGGCCGGGCCGGGCGGGGAGCACCATGACTGGCCGGTCAGACCTCGGGTGGTGCCACCTCGCGGGACTTCCCGCGATAAAGGCAGACGTGATCCCGCTGAATGTTGATGGTAAAAAGGCGATGACTGGTAAGGGTTCGATATCAATGTTTATTGATTTGTGGATAACTTACAGCTTTGCAAAAAAGATGTAGCGTGTCCAAAGTGATGCGAGTTTTGTTTTTGTGCATGAGGTTAGTTATAAGCAAACATCGTGTTTACCTACTATGGTTGCATGTTATGAAAGCATGACAGCACGGACGATGTTTGCAGTCTTATGTAAGAACGTACCCACATTGGATACATATCCAGTTGCATGGGTGGAGAACCTGCCCCGGCCACCCCGGCCGTGGCCGGGGTAACCTTCAGCCGACCCCGGCGCGGCCGGGGTAACTTTTTCCACTTTTGTAAATCCTAAAAGCTGTCTCCATACGAAAAAAACTGCCATATATAAAAGCGTCTCTCATTATTCGTATCTACCTTGAAAAGTTCTTGAAAATTACTTTATTTTCATTTTGGAGCTTCTATGTTTTTAAGTCTTTTCATCGCGGAGCCCGACGTGTTTCATCACACAGAAGTAAATCATATTTAAGGGCCGTTATCGTAAGATGGCACTGTAATAACATCACAAGACAGGACGAGGGTAATATCAGTGAGATAGAAGGACGAACTGCTGGGGCTCAAGGCTCCCCCAACTTCCTGCGCCAGGGTGGTGGCCTTATCGTAACACGTTGAGTCGAGAGGTGGGCTTTTCACGCTCCTTCTAACTCGGTTACTGGGCTACGAGGCGTGAAGCGGAACGACGTTTGAAAGAGCGACAAACGTGATCAGAGAAATCAAGTCATGTTTTAGGCAAGCTCAATAATAAAATCACCATAGATCATCAAAAGCCAAATTTCTCTGATTTTAGCGTT